AGAGGCAGTAATGCATGCCAGATTTAGGGTGCACAGGGTGCTGAGCTGAGGGGACACAAAATAATGAAACCTATATTTATAAGGGTACCTACTGAGAAGATCCACAAGAAAGCCATTGTACCAAAAGAATTATTGTGAAAATGAGAAATATTGGGGGGGGGGCAGGCACCAAATTTTGTCCTCATTCAGGGCGCCATATTACCAAAGTCCACCCCCCGTGCAATAATCTTTCTGAATACCAGTTGCTGGAAGCCACTGGAGGGGAGAAGGCTCTTGTGGTCAGATCCTGCTTGTGGGTTTCCTACAAGCATCAATGCTGGAATAATAATAATACCTTTATTGTCAATGTACAACCTGTGTACAATGAAATAAACCAAGCCTAACCGAGCCTCCCTCCCTCCCCACCCAAACACTCCATCTCATTGCACTCTGTGTGCTTATCGCACAACACACCACCTCGCAAGTCAGTTGCGCTATGTTATTTTCCGTTCAACAGCCTAACAGCCCACGGACAGAAGCTATTTTTTAGCCTGCTGGTACAACTGATTATAGGGTGGCGGGTGGCGCTGTGGGTAAAAGCCTCAGCGCCTAGGGCTTGCCGATCGAAAGGTCGGCGGTTTGAATCCCCGCGGCGGGGTGCGCTCCCGTTGCTCGCTCCCAGCGCCTGCCAACCTAGCAGTTCGAAAGCACCTCCGGGTGCAAGTAGATAAATAGGGACCGCTTACTGGCGGGAAGGTAAACGGCGTTTCCGTGTGCGGCTCTGGCTCGCCAGATGCAGCTTTGTCACGCTGGCCACAAGACCCGGAAGTGTCTCCGGACAGCGCTGGCCCCTGGCCTCTTGAGTGAGATGGGCGCACAACCCTAGAGTCTGTCAAGACTGGTCCGTACGGGCAGGGGTACCTTTTACAACTGATTATACTTCTATATCTCCTGCCCGAGGGTAGAAAATTAAAGAGGTGATGTCCGGGGTGTGAGTCATCCCTGAGAATTTTTCTCACTCTCCTAAGGCAATGATCCGTTGAGATGTCATCTAGCGGACTCAAGGGACAGGCCATGATATCATCTGCTGTATTCACCACCCTCTGTAGAGACTTTCTGTCCGTGGCCGTCAAGCCAGCATATAGAATGCTGGAGAGCCACTGCCAGTCGGTTTAGAGTCCAGGCATGGCCAAACTCGGCCCTCCAGCTGTTTGGGGACTGCAACTCCCATCATCCCTGACCACTGGTCCTGTTAGCTAGGGATGATGGGAGTTGTAGTCCCAAAACATCTGGAGGGCTGAGTTTGGCCATGAGACAATAGTGAGCAGTGGCTCTCCAGGATTTCCCACCTCTACCTGCCGAAGCTGGGGATCGAACCTGCAACCTTCTGCTTGCAGGGCAGATGCTCCCACACTGAGCTCTGGCCCTTCCCCGTGGACCAGAAGTCAAAAGCCTGCGAGAGACTCCCTACATGACTAAGTATATCACCAGGAAGGATGCTTCTAGCAGGGCCGCATGCCACTTCTCTGTGGTGACCTGAAGCAGGACCTTTCATGTAGCAGCACAAGTGTTACTGAATGCCATCCCAGCAGATACCACACATGCCTTCGGGATTTTGGTGCCTGTTGAATGTATTTTTTTCTCCACCCCATCATTTTTATTCCACCTGACTTGGTCACTGTTCATTTTGGAACAGTAGAAAGTTAGTGAAAGTGTTTTTTATCTGATGGCGATATTGCATTGTATTGAGATTCTTTTTAATGCAAAGCTATTAAGACGTTTTCTAAACCAATGGTTGAATATAGAGCTGCCTCATCATGCAGAAACTCAATCCAGGGTAACTAAGCTGTGGCCCTCCAGAGGCAGCTGGACTCCCAACTCCTCCAGCCCCGGCCAGCATAGCCAATGGTAGGGAATTATGGGAGCTGTAGTCCAGCAACACTGGGAGCGCCACAACTTAGCCACCCTGATCTAAATCTTTAAATGTCCACACACACACCAAACAAAACACCGAGCTAATGTCCTCTCCGCCTCTCTCTTTCCTCATCTCTCTCCTTTTCTCTCTCTCCCTCTCTCTGCTAAGAGGAGACTACATCCCAACATCAGATGACATCCTGTGGCAAATTTGGGCAGTGCACTTGTTAGAAGTGGAACAGCTTTTCTGAAATCCACTGAGGGAGGTTTCCACAACAAAACAGCAAGGTCCCTTCCTGTGTCACACACCCCTATTGACATTTCAGGAACAAAGTTTAGGAAGCTGCCAGAAAATGACTTTGAACCAAGGACAGGGATTGTTTTTGGTGCCTACTGAAGACCTTTCTCTCCCAACAAGACTTTTAGGTGGGCATCTTTCTCAGTCTGCATCTATACTTGAATTGTTTTTAGATTTAAAAAAAATTATTTTGTTTTGTGTGTTTGCTGCCCTGGGCTCCTTCAGGAGGAAAGGTGTGATATTATTTTTGATGATGATGAAGCTGTCTGAAGGATCAGATGTCAGTATGAGATACACCCACGTCACCATGGTTTTTATGCATTTATTCTATTTTTGTTAAGCTTATCTGATGTTATAAATATCCACACTTGGTCAGTTTGCTTGCCCACCCTTCAATATTGCCATGGCCCCTGCCTTCTGCACACATTGGGGGTAAATCTTTATTTAAATAAACATTCCTAATTTGACCCTTAAAGATATTTCAGACTTTATTGCCCTATCAAAGGACTGAGGTCACTGAAGATTTATTCCCATGTTATGATAAATGGTTTATTTATACATATATAGCATACCTGGAGGTTTCACAGTTTAAACCCATTCCAACAAATACTGCTACCCCATTATGTTTCAGAGGCAGCACGAAGCCTCCCAGAAAATCCTACAGTTCTGACCTTGTTCTCAAACCGTCTCAAGTGGTAACTACCAACTGCCTGCTTTGTTCATATCTTCTATAGACCAAATTAGCACATTCCTTAGGATGTGCTAGGGGCATCCCATTTTCCTGGCCATGAATGCAGTCCACCAATAATCTTCATAACAGAAGAGAATCTATCAAGCTAACCGTGTGACCAGTTTGGCCATTTTAGCAGTCTTGTCTTAAACACACAAGAATCACTGGATGAGAAGGGAGCCTGGGAGTCATTTAGATCTACCCCCAAACCCATAACAATATTGTGTTGGCCTTGTTTTTGTTTTTTAAAGCTAAGATTCCCAACAATCTTCATCAGATTTCAGAGCGTCCATCATCTGTCAGGAACTGCAGCTTTATACTATTATTCTTCAATTCCTAGTCCTCTTGAGTTTAAACATTTTTAAAGCATTTCCTACATTTATAGGATCATTTTTTTATTGTTATTTCTGCATTGGAAACCCTCACCATGACAAAGTAGTGATGTATGTGCACTTGGATGAATTTCTTTAATTCTCACTGATGAATGCCACGGGACGTCTGTGCAGCCTAAACAGACGTTTGGTGTGTTGTTGTTTTCAGAGTTCCACAATCAGCCTCCTTTCTCTCCTTGCGTGTTCCATTCACTCGTTTCACAGTTTGCTGGCTCTAGTATCTGAGTAACCAGCAATTACAGGAAGTGATGCCTCTGTGACAACTAAATGAAAGTTTAGAGTTGCGTTTTGATTTTTCAAAGAACAAATTGTGCCATTTATTTTATACCATACTGAGCTTCTGCAGGGTCCACAAAATCATCTGGAACATAATTGGCATATGACAGGAAGTGTTGTTTTGAAAAGCTCAGGCACCAGCCTCCGCAATATGAAGGGGGAGGAATGCGGGGCTAGGAATAAATAACAAGGACTTGGGGCTTCAAATACATAGAGCTGTATCCAACTCTCTAGCAGCACAGCCAGACTTCTGTTTCCTCTCCTCACTCACACCCCAAATTTGTTCCAGAGAGTCCCCCAACTCTCTAAAGCTGAATTTGACAGCACACAGGAGAGGGGCTGGAAGGGACAGGAAAGTCATCGCCAACATGCGCATGGGTATCTGCTGCACCACTGAATATGGCTCACAATTACTGCCTTGAACTTGAGCCCTTTCTTTGTGCCATTTATTGCAGGACTTTAAAGGTAAAGGATCCCTGGATGGTTGTTGTTGTTGTTGTTTAGTTGTGTCTGACTCTTTGTGACCCCATGGACGAGAGCACGCCAGGCACTCCGGTCTTCCACTGCCTCCCGCAGTTTGGTCAAACTCATGCTGGTAGCTTCGAGAACACTATCCAACCATCTCGTCCTCTGTCATCTCCTTCTCCTTGTGTCCTCAATCTTTCCCAACATCAGGGTCTTTTCCAGGGAGTCTTCTCTTCTCATGAGGTGGCCGTGGTCCATGGGGTCACGAAGAGTCGGACACAACTAAACAACAACAAATATGCTATATGGTAATTTATGGACCTAATAGGTATCTAAAGCCATTTGCACATGGAGAATGTAGGCACCCTATATATAGAAATGAGCAAACCAGTGATATTTTAGGGAGCAGGCTAGCAGGCGGGGCCCATTACTTACATCAAAGGAGCCTACACAACACAAAAAACTGTTGCTATATGTAGGTTTTATTTTATTTCTTTTTTATCTTATATTATGGAAATGTACACCCATTTTTTCCCTTAAATTTTTTTGAGGGGCCCCAAGAGAGTGGGGCTCTAAGCTACAGACTGTTTAGCTTATACGTAAATCCGGCTCTCATTGCATCTTCTGGGGGACCGGATTTCACAGGTTACGTACCTATTGCGTAAAAAGGTAGCTTTGTTTTGTCTAGCCTGCGTCTACCGCCCCTCTCAATTCACTGAATGACACACAGAGAGACCGAGTTCTAGTATTACCAGTTTATTATTATAACAAAAAAGGGGCTGTTAAAATTCGAAGCAAGGAAAGCCTGCCTCTCCACTGCTGCGCCCCTCTGCGCAGTGCCCAGGTTGGCCAACCATCCCTCCGGAACGACGCGGCGCTTCTTCCTTTTATGACGTCAGCATCTCCCGGCAACGGGAGAGAATGGTTGCCTTGGCGACGTAAACAATATAGGAGAACAATGGCAAAGGCAGAACGTCGAGACACCAAATCGTGTCTCTGGTGCAGAAGTGCAGCTGCGCTTGAACGCAGGTGGCCGAAGGGGCTTTCCAGACGCCGAGATTCTTGCTTGCAGTTAAATGAAGCGTTTAAATGGGGCACATCTGAACTTTGTTTTCCTTCCTTGTATTTTTCACTTACGGTGTTGTTGTTTTCCAGTCGCAACTGAGAATTCAGGGTGAGCTATGCGCTTTGTTAAACCTTATATGCATTGGTGAGAGATAGGTCTCTGAGTTGTCTGAAAGCAGGGAAGTCGACAGGCTAAATGGATGTTTTTTTAGGGGAGAATTACTGTGACTTTCGCGGAAGCATACCATATCCTCAAAAGAAACTAAACTCTTGTGGACTTTACTCAGCGGTAGCATTACACAGGCACACACATCCGCAAATATTTAAAGTTGAAGATCCAGCTGCCTGTGGAATAAGTTTCCCTTCCAAAATATTTACATCTATGGTCATTCATCTGCCTCTTAAATTCCCGTCAGGGGGTTTAAAAATATTTCCAGTGTTTTCTCAGCCCAGTTGCTGTTTTTGCTCTTGACAGCTGATTTATATATTTGTACTTTTAAGGACAATCTGCTCATTCAAAGCACCAATATTTTAATGTTTATGTTTTGTGTGTGTAACCTTTCTGAGGGAGGGAGAAATTATAGACCTCGGGGGTTCAGGTTGCTCTTGACATTTGTCAGTTTGGCCTTTAGAAGGCAATGCAATCTGTTTCATTTCTTAAGATTTTTACATTGTAACCTGGGCTCAGCTTTTGGGAAAGAGCAGGCCATACTGAATAAGCATCTTTAATCTCTCTGCTCTGCAACTGGTTACAGTAAATATAATTAGTTTCCTTTTTTTTAAAGGAAGTTAGCAGGCTGTGACTGTATACGGACTTAACTTGCAAGAAAAGCTGCACCCTATGCACATTTACTTAGCAGTATGCCCTAAGTGACATTTGTGGAGAAGGGCTGTAGCTCAATGGTAGATTAAATCCTTTACCTGTAGAAAATCCCCAATTCTATCTTCTGCATTTCCAGGTAGGGCTGCGAATATCCCTCGCCTGAAAACCTAGAGAGCTGCTGCCAGTCACTGTCAACCATACTGAACTAGCTGGATCAATTTTCTCACTCAGCATAAGGCAGCTTCTATGATCGCATGCCTAATGAACATGACTACCCATGGCCCCTACCTAACCATTGAAACCAAATCTCTGTTGCAGTGCATCAGGTCCTTTTAAGCTTGCCATTAACATGTCTAAAATGATTATTCAGGCTTTTTGTGATTAATGTTTTTGGGTGCTTCCAGACAGTCACTATTTTGGGGTGGGATTCAATCACATATCTGCAAATTCAGGCTGCACAATTGTAGTTGTTTGGGAGGTCTTGGGCGACAAACCCTCTTACCCAAAAGATCAGACATGTTGAAATAAGAGAAGCAATGAGGAAATGCACAGAAATATGAGGGATAATACATGCTTCCATGCAATGCCATCTAACTTCCCCACAAACTCATCCGAATGAATGCTCCTTAAATAGCCAATGCCATTTAATCTCCCTGCAAACTAATTAGGGTGAATGCTCAATAAGCAGATTGTCTGGAAGTGCCCTTGTGTAAGTTATGTACCTTTAAAGCACATTAAAAAACATTTTCTCCCTCAAAAAACTGGGCACTAAAGTTTGTAAAGGGTTCTTGTTGTTGTTCATTTCATTTCTAGACCGCTTTATATTTTTAAAGGCTGCTTGGAATTGCAATTCTCTGAGAGGTAAGCTGCAGTGGCCAGAATTCTTTGATGTGGGAAAATGAGCTTTGAATAAGCTTTAAATGTATAGTGTGCACACAGCCTCAGTAGTAGTTTTTGCTTGTCCCTCTGAATATTTATATATCAATTTTATTTTATTTTCCTACAGAGACTGAGCAACATAGGTGCAGTTGGCTCTTCCCCACTCGCCTGGCGCATCAATTCTGTTTTTCTGCTTATGTTCTAGGAAGTGAACGCAGCATACGGTTTGGGGGAAGCCAACGTCCAGTGTAAACCTTACCCTGTATTTTATTAAGGCAGAACGTCGCCAACATGTCTGTAGTCTCTTTTGCTCATTCAGATACATCTCTGAATGCAGAGAGCTCTGAAGCAACTTACAGTAAGTTTTCTCTTTCTTTCTCACCACCTTAGTTAACCGGCTTGGCCCGTTTGGTTTGAAAACTCATGTCGTAATCTGAGGAGCTTCTGAAGAATACAGAAATCTCCAGGACGTAGACATTTGTGGGATATATATTTTTATATGTCTGTACATTTTGCCTCATATCTAAGGTTCTATCAAGGCTTACTTAAAAAAAAGAGACGGAATAGAATGTAAGCTGGAAATCTGGGGCACTAAATAAAGCCCACGGGGACTTGGTTGGCCATTCCTGATCTGAACAGTCCTCATGGTGCAGGTCCTATCACTTGAGCATTAGTTCCAAAATGTGAAGCATTGCCCTCGCTTCCTGAAACCTCAAGTCTTTTTTCCAACTCCTGAGATATCCATGGCTAAGAGTGGGATTGATTTTTATTGTTCCAGGAGAAAGACTGACATCTCGGCAAGTTGGGGATGTGTTTACAATTCCCTCAGTTCAGTCAGGTGAATCAAAACTAGGTAAGACAGTCTTGCAGATTTTTATTATTTCTGTTTTATAATTGCATATATGTTCCAGTTTTCCTATTAAGTTGTTCAAGCTGGCGTAGCTCCCCTTCTACCTTTTATCCCAGGGAACTCTGGGAACTGTAGCTCTGGGAGGTGGACATAAGGGTCTACTAAGAACTCTTAGCACCCTTAACAAACTACAGCTCCCAGAGTTCTTTGCAGGAAGCCATGGCCATTTAAAGCAACACCACAGTGCTTTAAATGCATGGTGTGGGTGTGACCTTTGATTACACAACCTGAATCCCATCTGCAAAATGGAGACAAGTCCAGAAGCAGCCTGGAGAGAAAGAGAGGGTGAAGGTGGAGATACCCTAATGCAGCTGTGTCCAACCTCAAGTAGGCTGCGATCTATTATTCAGCATTAAAAACTGGCAGTGATCTACCACACTCTCCCATTGTCATTGGGGGCAAGGGGTAAGGTGTTGGCGGCCAGAAAAAAACCCTTTCTTTCATTAGCATGGATTCACGATTGATTCCATCACCACCTTCTATGTATTGCCCAAATGGAGGCGACAGCTGATTAAGCCACAAGTCGCTCTATATTGAGGAGGAAGAAAAGGCGCTCTCATTTTATCCAGCCTCATCTCGAATTCAGAGCATCACCACCCCGCACCCCAATTTCCGTTGCTCTCTAGGGGGAACGCTGCACCCTCTCCCCCTCACACGAGTGCAGTCCTGCAGGGCCGCCCAGCCGAAGGCGGCCTCCTTAGTAGAGTGACATGAGAGAGGCGCGTGCTCCAGAGCTCATGGGACCGCAAACGAAGGCACAAGCCTGGCCTGGGAGGGCGGAGTGCTGACTGACTCCAGCTACAAAAACAGAGGCTGTTGAACATTGATATTATTGTTGTATCTTTGGTCTTAGATCTTGTGATTTATGTGGAAATTGTTTCCATTTGGTTGTGTACTTTTTGATATGTTTTATTTATTGTTTAGGACTTATGTTTGTAATTATGTAAATCTTGTCATGTTGTAAGCCGCCTTGGGCATGGTCCAACTATGGAAAGTTGGCATACAAATAAAATGATGATGATGAAGAAGAAGTCTCTCCCTCCTGCAGCCGCTTTGCAAGCCCCATTCAGCCCACCGGCTCATGGGATCACAGAAGCGGAGGCGCAGCTTATTCCCTCCCACAGCCGAGCCCCGGCTGTGAGGGAGGAGCAAAGGCTGCCTCCCCGTTCAAGGATCGATCTGTTGATCCCGATCGACGCCTTGGACATGTCTGCCCTAATGCATCTCCATCAGCATGCCTGATGTGGTCCTGAATTGCACTGGACTTGAGGACGGTCAGGATCAATCTCATTCTGGCCTGCAAAGAAAGCTTAGGCACCAACTTTGCAGCAAATATAAAGCAAAACAAGAACACTACTCAGTTGCCCTAAAAGGGATGATGGGAATTGTAGTTCCAAAACAGCTGGAGGGCCAAGTTTGGCCATGCCTGCAAAGAGCCATTAATAATTTTGGGTTTTTTTGTTTTTGTTTCTTTTAAAAAAAGATTAATCTTCCTCAAATGGGGAGAAACAATACTTGTGAAGGGGGGAAATACTTTGTTTTTATATGCTACATGCATATAAAATACAAATATTAGAATGTTGTATGTGAGAGAAGGGGAAGTCTCTTCTCAGGTGGTTCTTACCACCTGATATTCTTATATTTTTTTAAAGTTGCCATTTTAAAATAAAACCTGCTGCTTTGTTAATTGGGGGTGTATGCAGTTCTACTCCGTCAAATGTTGCTGTGTTTAAATTGATTTAATCCAAGCAATCGATCAGCTAAACATTGCAGCATTGCAATTAAATACAGAATCTTTCAGGTGTTGGGGTGCCATCCATCTGTGGTGGCTGTTCCACACATGCAGATCACCAATTAGCATCATGCAAACTTTTCCCCCCTGAAGGGCAGCTGTTCCCCCCGCCCCCCACTTATAACTTCCTGTTTCTTGCAGCTTCTAGTCACGCCACAGACTTTCAGTTAGACAAGAACCCGTTTAAAATCCCTTCGGATATTGATATATTCTTGCTGCGAGACAGGCAGAAGGAAAAGGCAAAAGCGGTATGTACCAATCACAGGAGGTTCCTGGAGGAAATCTTTCTTGACCACAAGCAGTGTAGCATTATTGTTATTGTTTATTACATTTCTGTCTCGCCCAGAGGCAGCAAGGAGCAAAGCAATGCATTTTTAAAAAATTAAAATAAATTAACACAATTATAGACCATAGGGTCAGGAAGCAAGTTGCAGGAACAATGCGTTCACATGCTGCGATTTTGCATATATCCAGGGAAATCTCTAAAATGAAGCTCTGAGCTCCTTGGAAAGTGAGCTGGACACAAATGTTATAAATAAAAATTGCTCATAAAAATACAGAAAAGAGCAATCCAACTGATCAAATTCTCTTCTTTTTTTAGGGCAGATAAAATAAAGTACCTCTCTGTGCAGTATGAAATTAGATTCTAGAATATGCTGCCCTAAAATGTAGCGATAGCCACTCATTTATAGTACTTTTAAAAAGGGCATTAGCTGAATTCATTGAGGATAAATCTCTCATCAATTAGCCATGAGAGCCAAGTAGAACCTCCATGTTCAAAAGCAGTATACCTCAGAATACCCAACATGTTGGGGAGAAACTATGGGAGAGGGCTGTTTCCGAATCTGGAAGTCAACAGCGCTGAGGTAGCCTGAAGTACTGGTCTTGGGACTAGAAGCTCAGTGCTGAGTTCTGAGATCATCTTTGGGCTTGCTGGGTGACTTTAGGAGATGGACTGTGGCTCTGTGTCTTGGATGCAAAAGATCTCAAGGTTCGATCCCCAGAATCTCCAGGTAGGACTAGAAAAGCCCCTGGCGAGCAGCTGCCATTCAGTGCTGACAATATTCTGGCTTATTATAAGACAGCTTCCCACGTCCCTATGACTTTGCAAGTAGAGCTATAGGCATGTGAGAATCCATATGAGCCATCACCTCTGGGACATCTTTCCCCCTTTACATTGTCACAATCGGCTCAGGCTTGAGCCCACAACCAATTTATGCTGTCTGGACATTCCTTTCCCCCCCGTAAATAGTTTTTAATTTAATTTTAGAAGTATAAAATCATAACAATATCAAATACATACTCAGATTTAGAGATTTCTATGAATCTCCAGACTTCCCACCATCCCCTGCAAGGGTTTTATTGTCATCATTTACAACTGCATATTATTTTATCATCCATATTTTAGGTCTATCCACATTATCCAAAGTCTTTGGTACATTACGAGTGGTGCTAAAATCCTGCTAATGTTTTCATTTGTTTACAGTGGTCTCTTAGATAAATTATAAATCTTTCCTGTTCTTTCTTGAAGCTTTTGTCTTCTTGTTTCCTGAACTTTCCGGTCATTTTTGCAATTTCGTCATATTCCAACAGCTTAATTTGCCTTTCTTCTCTGGTAGGGACTCTTTATCTTCTTTCCATCTCTGGGCTAACAGCATCCGTTAGGTGGTCGTTGCATACATAAAGAGTCTTTTCTGCTCCTTTGGAATCTCGGTACTTACAGTTCCTAATAAAATTTGCTGTCTGGACATTCCTTATCAAAATAGGCATTGGCTGTTAGAGGATGGGCAGTCAGATCTGATTTCAGCAGAGGGTTCATTCATACCTGTCTCCCTAGTTGGTCACCATTGGCCACCACCACCCATTCAATATATATATTCAAAGCAATCTTGGAGGTTTCTGAAAACTGGATGGAGCTATAAGCCTACCCCCTTTTTACCCTTAGGAGCGAGAGCGAAGGAAGACTTTGAAGGTTCACGAGAAGATGACCTGCTCCACCCTGCAAGGTGCCAAACAATCTGGGTTCAAGAAAGAAATCCAAATGGAAGAGGAAGCGGAAGACAAAGAGTTGGCTGCAGAAGCAGAGCGCCTGAAAGCTCTCCGAGAAAGCATCTCTTGGAAGATAGCAGTCACTAAAGGTAGGGATCTTTACAGAAAGCGTCCAGATCAGGACACAACCAAGAGACTGATGGCAGTTTGAGTGACAGAACACACACTGCTTCAGGCTGCAGGCTCAGTTGCTGACACATCTCCAGTAACATAAGACCTCAGGCAAAAACAACCCATGATGTGCAATTGTGTGCATGTTTCTCCAGTATGTTTCATTTTTCAAACCGAAAGCAGCCATAAGATGTTGCAGTCTTTTGTAAAGGAGTGCCCCAGGGTTTGGGCGTGCGTACACAGGGACGCGGACTTATAAAAAATATTGGGGGGGCCCGTGAAAGCTCATGAATAATAAATAAGCTCATGAATATGCAAATAAAGTGGCGCCGCCTCCTCGTGAGCGAATAGGGGAGAGCGTGCTGCGCCTATTAATCAGCTCCAAAGGAAATTGGGTGGAGCTTTTGCTCGGGAGGGAGGGCAGGAGGCATGCAGCCCGCCCCTCCCTGTGCATTTTGGGCTGGGGGAGGGGCGGCGATGGCGCTCTGCTGGAGGGGCGCCGGAGATTATTGGGGGGGCGGAGCCCCCCCAAACGAATTTTTGAGGGGGCTCGGGCCCCCTCAAGCCCCATGGAGTCGGCGCCTATGTGCGTACACACATGTGCTTGACCCTTTCCCTTCCAGCTTTTTTTCCATTCAGAATTGTGGGCACCTGCTTCCACAGAGAGAAAAGCAACAGTGGGTTAGGGGGCAGACGCTCTGTGGGGGAAATATCCATGAAGCTCAGGGGTGAGGAACCTTTGTTTTAATTCCGAGGGCCACATTCCTTTCTGGGCAACCTTTGGGGGGGCCCGCATGAGGGTGGGCAGGGCTAGATGTCAAAGCAGGCAGAATGCTGAATGTGTGTTTAATCCAGGCATCCCCAACCTGTGGCCCTCCAGATGTTTTGGCCTACAGCTCCCATGATCCCTAGCTAACAGGACCAGTGGTCAGGGATGATGGGAATTGTAGTCTAAAACATCTGGAGGGCCCAAGGTTGGGGGTGCCTGGTTTAATGTTTATGCAGCAAGCTGATTTAAACAGGTACTTACCCACAACCCTCTCTGTCCTCCATCCAGAAAGAAGCAGGTTCAGAGTTCAAGGCATATTCCCACCTTGGCAAAAATGCTCATGGAGGTTGTGAAGCTGCTCCAGGGAGGGGTGTAGCCTTGGGAAATTCTCAAAGGTCAAATCTAGAGGCCAGGGCCTGAGTTCCTCCACCTCTGATGTAGCTGGTTGTAGACTCTTAGTTGCAAGTACTGTACATCTCAACTTCTTGGGGAATTGATACTGATTCTTGAAACTCTCTGAACACAGCTTTTTTGCACATGGTCTGCCTTTGCTTCGCAGCTGGTTGTTCTGTCTCTCCTTTGCACAATTGTCTCTCTCCCTCCTGCCTTTCTTTCTTTTTCTAGACCAGGTCATCGAAAGAGAGACCATGCACGACTACATCAATCAGAAACGGCAAATGTTCTTGCTGCAGGTATATGGCTTCAGATTGGGTGGAATTTGATTCTGAGCCAGTGGAGGGCAGCAGTCGAAGCAAAGGGACAGCTGGCTTCAGGTCCCTGCTCAGTCATGGCGCTCAGTGAGTGGACCTGGATAGGCCACTGTTTCCAACTTTAGAATGTTGTGAAGGTATAATGGAGGGAGACTGCATACATCATTGGAGGAGGAAGAGCAGGTTACAGTTGTGATCATACATGTTCTTGCTAGCTTTTTTCCTACAGGGAGACTTTCATGTGAGAATAGAGTTAGATATAGTGGCTACTGCTGGCATCTTATAGTGGTACGATCCTGAAAGGACTGTACCGTGTGCTTATTTAATTAGCTAGGGTTGCCATACATCCGGAATTTCCCAGACATATCTGGAATACTGCAGTTGGAAGTAGTGTCAAGATGGAAATCGCTAAAAAAAATGTCTGGGGAAATCCGGACATATGGCAACCACTGTCGGAGGAATAGGGGTGCGGGGGGATACGCCCGCTCTGGATGCCATCCCGGGGGGGTGACATTTGATTTATTTTGCATGTATATGCCGCCTTTATCTTCCAAGAATCTCAAGGCGGTGTATATGGTTCTCCTCCTTCCCATTTCATCCTCACAACAACCCTGTGATATAGGTTAGGCTAAGAGATGGTGACTGACCCAAAGTCACCCAGTGAGCTTCATGCCTAAGTGTTGTTTCGAACCCTATCCTATGTCATTATCTGCTGTTCCCTATGACCTCTCCTTTGCAGGCCCAGACAGAATTGATCCAGCTCTAGGAAGCAATTATTTTACCTTGAAGAAAATGTATTTGATTGGGACTCAGTAGACTTGGGGTATAGACTATGGACTCCCTACATGACTTTGGGGAGAGAATGCAATCTTTTTGCATTGCATTTCTTTTCATACGCGACTTTAAAGGGTTGCTGAGCTGAGTCAAGAATCGTAGCAAACGCAATTCAGCAAGTCTCCAGTGTGGGCCAGTAATTTTTCTCTTCTTTTTGGCCTAAATTGCAGTATGCTGTAACGGTAAAGAAAGATGAGATCCAGAAGCTGGAAAACTTGGCCATTGAAGAAGAAGCAAAGCTGGAAAGAGCCGAGGAAGACCTTGAGAAGGATGCCGCCATGTTTGATGAGTTCCTGAAGGAGAATGATAGGAATTCTGCACAAGCCTTGAAAATGTAATGCTGGAATTTGGACTCCATTAGATTGTGTGTGAAGGGACACGGGTAGTGCTGTGGGTAAAAGCCTCAGCGCCTAGGGCTTGCCGATCGAAAGGTCGGCGGTTTGAATCCCCGCGGTGGGGTGCGCTCCCGTTGCTCGGTCCCAGCGCCTGCCAACCTAGCAGTTCGAAAGCACTCCCGGGTGCAAGTAGATAAATAGGGACCGCTTACTAGCGGGTGCGGCTCTGGCTCACCAGAGCAGTGATGTCACGCTGGCCATGTGACCCGGAAGTGTCTCCGGACAGCGCTGGCCCCCGGCCTCTTGAGTGAGATGGGCACACAACCCCAGAGTCTGGCAAGACTGGCCCGTACGGGCAGGGGTACCTTTACCTTTACCTAGATTGTGTGTGTGTGTTTTCCAATATACCCCCAGTGTTTCCCTCCCCAGAATAATATGGGAGAATGGTGGGAATCAAATTGGGATTTAGAAACTGAGGAAGACGTATGGAATAGACTGTGGATCAAAGCCCCATATAAATCTATTCCGGCATTGACAAGAGAAAGAGCCCTCAAAATTGCACATGGCTGGTATTTAACACCTAGATGTCTAGCTTGTATAAAACCCAGCAGCTCTCCTTTGTGTTGGAGAAGGTGTCCCACGATTGGGACATACAGAAATATGTGGTGGGAGTGTTCAAAAATAGAAAAATTCTGGGAAAATGTCTTTGCAGAGATATCTTTGATTACATGGCAGACAGTTCCTATGTCTCCAGGACTGGCATTGCTTAATTTGTACAGCCAGGACTCACCAAGAAATAGAAAAAATATCTTATAACCCATTTACTGACCACGGGAAGAATGACCATAGCCAGAACATGGAAAACATTGCAATGTTGACCATGGATAAGTGGTATGATGCGGTCTGGCAGACAGCTTTGTTGGAAAATCTAACATGGAAACTGCAGGTAGAAAGAGGCTAAAAGAAAAACTCCTACACAGTAGGGGACAATTTTATTGAACACACAGCAAGTGAGGAACATGGGGGGGGGGTAGTGTTTAGGGTGGGTAACATAGTTTGGAATACTTGACGTCTACAATTTAACCTTTCAAATCGTTGCAGATATAATGTTTTCCGTCCTTTCAAGGAGATTAGAGCACATGGTGTGTTTTTTTACGGTTTTTTAAGATCATGAGAATGTTTGAAATATATGCTGTGGCAAATAAACTATTTTTAAATGAAAACAAAGAAACCAAAAACCAGGGACTAAACTCCACATCAAGACTGAAGATGCCTGGAAAGGTGCATGTGGGTGGGATTTTAAAAGGCCCCCAATGACTGCACACTCAATGGCAGCACAAGCTTATTATGGACTCCGTCCTGCTCATGCCTGCACGTTTTTCCACAGTGTCCACATGACAGCATTCTCATGCAAATGCCACCCCATTCCCACCCTACCCCACAATTTAATCCAGATTTATCAGATTTCCTGTGGAAACTAAATCTGAATTAAATGGAGACTATGGGGTGAGATTCTGAAGATGCAACTGCAAACTTACATACATGAGGAGTGCTGAGTCCAGATAAGGCTGCCATGCAGAAGAGCCCTGTATGGACAAGGCTGAGCTGGGAGGTCACAGAGGCAAGGAAGCTGGAAGAAGCTTCTCCCTCTGTCTCTCTCTCTCTCTCTCTGAGCAGCTGCATCTGGCTTTTAAGGGAGAAGGACCTTTAGTCCCACTGCTTGCGTCATCCCCTGCTGCTGTTCTTCAGGTAACTGTTGTTTTGATGCCTTTCTCTTAGCGCCGAAAAGGAAACCAAAGCCAAGCTGGAAAAGATCCTTGAGATCCGAGAACTGACTGCGCAAATGATGAACATCCAAAGGTCAGAATTGTTTGGAAAATATTTGGAATTATTGTCAGTTATAGTAATTTTTTGTAATACTCCAGAGGCTATTTCTCCAATCCTGCAAAGAGTTCTGCACTGGTTGCTGATTTGCTACCAGGCCGAGGTGTTACTATTACTATATATACTTGGGGACCCTCTTACCTGTGCGATCGCCTTGCCCTCTCAACCACTACAGTCTGTGGAACTGGTACCACATAATACCCATTCCACATCTGTGAGAAATCAACTTTTGACATGACATGAGGCAGACAATAATTTGATTAATCTGAAAAACTTGATTTAGGGAGAGTTTTGTTCCCCTGCCTTTATACATGGGAGGTCCAACTCTGGCTGTTCCACAGCTTTCCCTGTTGGGAAACAGCAACAGTGTGATGTAACAGTCTTCTTTTGAGGTAGAAAGTTTAGTACTGTATTTGCTGGAATGAAGCAGACCCCTCTGTGGCTTTGCCTCTGCCAAGAGACAAAATACATGGGTTGAAATGGTCCAACCCTGGAAGCTTTTCCTCTGGGCAGCGGTGGAGCAAGCCGATTGGGTGCCTGGGGCAGGGCCAGCCGTTCATGGGGTTGGGGCCAGCCGCCCACAGGGCAGGGCGAGCTGGGGCAGGACATTCCACGGGGCCTCTGAGGAGACTGCCTGCCTCCTCCCACTAGCTGCCCTACAGCTGAGGGGGAGGCAGAGGGAGGACTGTTTGGGGCAGCATGGAGCCTGTGGGTGCCCAAGCCACTGCGTCACTCCCAGGAGAGACGCGTGGCTCAGGTGCGCTGCAGGCCCTGCGGTGAGTGCCGCCCACCATTTTGTCACCCCCCTCAGCGGTGACACCCGGGGCGGCCCACCCCCCCTTCCTCCGCCCCTGCCTCTGGGCAGAGAAGACTGCAAATGACTCTGTTCACGGTGACTGGAACCTGATGGAACTTCTCCTCCTCTAGCGAGATCGCCAGGTTTGAAGACACTATGCAGGAGTACGTGGTATTCAAGGACTTCCTCTTCCAGCTGTCCCCCAAAGAGTGGCGGGAGGAATATGAAAGAAAGCGAATGAAGGACAAAGAAAAAACGGTGAAACTTGTACCTGACAAAGATTTCGCACCTTCCAAAAGTAAGAGCTCCCAGCAAAGGACTGTCCATTGTTTGGGCACATGTGCACCTCCCATTTTATGGTTGTTTATGACAGATTAGCATAAAGGAATTGGGGAATAAGGAAAATAATCAAGCCAAGGCTAGATACTTCTCTGCTTTTCTTTGAGGGGGTTCTTATTTTATGCTGGCAGTTTTAAATTGGTAACACTTCCTTTTCTAATTAAATACTAAATGCTGCATTTTAGCTGTCTGAAAGCCTTTTGTTAGAGACCAATATTATCAGGAGAAGCACCGCTGCCTTCAGTGGTGCTTTCCCCCAGCTTTTTCTGCAGAGAATTTCATAAATGATACATGGTTGATTAAGGATGTAGAAGCAGCTCTCCTGATCCCATGCTATCCACAAGACCACCCTCTGCTAGTCTGCTATCCTTATATGGTCAGATGATCCGAATAAATTTGGTATTATTTAGTACCCTTCTTGTGGGCATGGCTGTAGGAGCCCTTTTGCTGAGCTCCTGTACTTCAACATTTACCACCACTGCACACAGCAGAACAAGGAGGATTTAACAGCAGACGGAAACCAGTAAAGGAGAGTCGATTTGCTATCCAGGGGCAGGCAGTTTCACAGTCGGGGTGCCACAACTGGTGAGGCCCTGGCAGGGCTGGTGTATACATTGAACAACAGGGACATAGGTGGCACTGTGGTCTAAACCACTGAGCCTCTTGGGCTTGCCGATTGGAAGGTCGGCAGTTCGAATCCGCATGATAGGGTGAGCTCCCATTGCTCTGTCCCAGCTCCTGCCAACCAAGCAGTTCAGAAGCAAGCCAGTGCAAGTAGATAAATAGGTACCGCTGCGGCAGGAAGGTAAACAGCATTTCCGTGCGCTCTGGTTTCCGTCACGGTGTTCAGTTGCGCCAGAAGCGGTTTAGTCATGCTGACCACATGACCCAGAAAGCTGTCTGTGGACAAATACCGGCTCCCTTGGCCTGAAGTGAGATGAGTGCTGCAACTCCATAGTCACCTTTGACTGGACTTAACCATCAAGGGGTCCTTTTTACCTTTACCTACATAAAAGCTCTCTCATGACACACCATTAGGCTCACCTACCCGTCAGAAAGTCCTGTGAACTGTAGGGGTAAAATATGTATACACCTCTACTCAGAAGGAATCCCCATTGAGTTCAATTGCATGAAATGTATTTGTCTGTATAACTTAAGGCGCATTTTCCCTTCTCCTGCTCAGGCCGGGATTGGCAGCAAAGGAGGAAAAGCCGATCACTGCCAAAGCACTCCAGTTTTGACCTGTCTGGAACAGATTTGAGCTCCTCCAGGACTCAAAGCCAAGTTTTTGCTAGAAGGGACTCTATTAGGCTCAGCCAGGTGTCTTCAAGGCAGAACCTCAGATCCCAGCTTGGCAAAAGATCGTAAGTGCAAAAGGGGAAGGAATTATAAAGGCAACATCATTGGCCCACATACAATCATGCCTGTGATTTAAAAAAGAAATTAAAAAATAAAGCTCAGTCTGGAGGCCCTGCCCAGAGGTGCCAGGTTGGCAACTCTTGGTGAAGTGATGAGGCTGGTAAAAAGTGGCACACAGGACAAAAGAGAACTTCTGTAGTGACAAAATAGCTAAGGGATCTAACCAATTTACTCTACAATCCTACACTCACTTACCTGTAAGTCTAATTGAACTTAATGAGACTTACTTTTGAGTAAGCTAGTATAGGCTTGCAGTTAATTGCGACACAGTAGAACCTCGACTTAACGTTACCCTCGGGTAATGTAAACTTTGGGTTGCAAAAGCGGCAAACCCGGAAGTATTTTTATGGGTTTCACCTCTCGCGCATGCGCAGAAGCGCTCTACCGCCGTGCATGCACAGAAGTGAGATGCGGCTGGACCTCTGGAACGGATCCTGCCCGCAACCGTAGGTACCCCTGTATTTTGTTTTCATTGTGTACTTTATTTTCCGCTGTTATCGCTTGCCACAAGCTCTTGAAAGGGACAGGGCTAGAAACTGATTTCTATTGTATTTTTAAATCTCAAGTTATCCATTGTTATGGTCACGTTGTGCAAGCATCTAACTTAGAAATAACCTTTGCAGGAGCATTGCAGGAGACAGGGAAACTCCAGAGATTCCATCTGATGACGATGACGACGACGAGGTTAGTAACCTTTAAACCAACATATTGAACGTATTCTTTTTGATTTACAAAATGGGGGTTTGTTGCTTGTGGTTTGTTTGGCTTACTCAAAAGTAAGTCTCATTAAGCTCAGTTAGACTTACTCACAGGTAAGTAAGTGAGCGTAGGATTGTAGTGTAAATTAATTAGAGCCCTGAACTATTTTGTCCTTGAGCTAAATAAAGCCTAGCGAGACTAAATAAGGCATAATACTACAGTTTGTATTACTTGGTAAAGAGTTAAGCACAGTAAAGCAAGACCCTTTGGACAACAATGGACACGGCCTCTGACAGCCCAGGTGCAGCATCGCAGGTCTGAGTTTCAGGGTCTGAGCTTGCGGGGGGCCAGACTATATTTTGGGGGGGGGGATGAACCAATTCCTATGCCCCACAAATAACCCAGAAATGCATTTTAACTGGCCTTAACATTCCTTGACTATCCTGATGACCGTGGCACAAAAGCAGCAGTGTGAGAAATGGACTTGGCCTATTTTAAAAGGATATCCAGCCAGCTGGTCAGCTTCTCATTTTGGTCAGCTTCTTATTTTGATCCTCCCTTTTAGCCCACCACTCGTTTCTGCTAATTACCGTATTTTTCGCTCTGTAAGACGCACCAGACCATAAGGCCATAGTTTTTGGAGGGGGAAACCAGAAAAAAATATTCTGAATCTCAGAAGCCAGAACAAGAGGGATCGCTGCGCAGCAAAAGCAGCGATCCCTCTTGCTGTTCTGGCTTCTGGGATAGCTATGCAGCCTGCATTCACTCCATAAGACGCACACACATTTCCCCTTACTTTTTAGGAGAGAAAAAGTGAGTCTTATAGAGCAAAAAATACGGTAAATGCTGACTACAAAGAAGCCATACTAACTCCTGCAAGGGTAGATTACAATAGGATAATAGCAATGCAAGACTAGGGCCCAGGCCTAGGCATCAGACCGAAGCAGGCATCAGTGTAATTCAGGGGTCAGCAAACTTTTTCAGCAGGGGGTCCCTCAGACCTTGTGGGGGGCCAGACTGTATTTTGGGGGGGAAATGAACGAATTCCTATGCCCCATAAATAACCCAGAAGTGCATTTTAAATAAAAGCACACATTCTACTCATGTAAAAACACGCTGATTCCCAGACCGTCCACGGGCCGGATTTAGAAGGTGAGTGGGCCAGATCCGGCCCCTGGGCCTTTGTTTGCCTACCCCTGATGTAACTCCTCAATATATCAAAGGTGTATTGGGATACACGTTTTATTTGCAGCAAAGGAGAACATGCATGCTGTAGTTAACCGTATAGTATCAAGGTATCAATACACTCAATCTCTCCTGCCGTGCATATTCTCCTGTGTGCGTAACAGAAAGGACTCCTTGATGCTAACACTTTCCTTTGCAGGAGCCGGTGTTGTACTTCACAGATCCACACCAACTGCTGAATCTGTTCACTGAGTTGGAAGAACAAAACTTGTCCCTAATTCAGAATTCTCAGGAAACAGAGGAAACCCTTGATGAACTTCGGCATACCTTGGCTAATACGCGGAATAAAATGTAAGTGATGAAAGGACACTGCCCACAGTGAATTTGCACAATACATAGATGTTTTTGCATCGTGAGTGGTTTCCAATTTATATCATCAAAATCTATTCTGAGAAGCATAGACAGGAAAAAGAGACATTTCATAGGACATATGACCAGTTTCCCCATTAAACATTGGAGAGGGGGTGTTTCTCTATGATAGAATCCACGCAACATTCATTCATCCAGTGCCGGATTTATGTATAAGCTAAACAAGCTATACCTTAGGGCCCCACTCTCTTGGGGGCCCCCAAAAAAATTAAAGAAAAAAACTGAACGTACATTTCCAAAATATAAGATTAAAAAAACCCAAATAAAATAAAACCTACATACAGCAACAGTGTTTTGTGTTGTGTAGGCTCCTATGATGCAAGTAATGGGCCCCGCCTGCTAGCCTGCTCCCTAAAATATCACTGGTTTGCTCATTTCTATATATAGGGTGCCTACATTCTGCATGGACTGGTTGCAAAGCAACATGGGCAAATGGCTTTAGATACCTATTAGGTCCATAAATTACCATATAGCGTATATTCAACAACAAGAAACAGCAACAATTTGTTGTTGACAAAGGACAGCTGGACATATGAAGGGCCCCATTACTTTCAGTAGCTTAGGGCCTCATCAAACCTAAATCTGGATCTGCATTCATCTCATGAAGACCTTGTATTAGGATTCCCATGCTTGAATAATATAGACGTCATTTCCCCATGCCAAAAGAATCCAGATTATCTAATACCTGTTTGCTAGGAAGCTGAATGTAAGTGAAGTTTCATAGTTAACCTGCCCACAGTTGTTGCACATGATTAGCTCATGGTGTGAAAATAAAACATATCAAAACTCCTTTTTTTAATAAAAAAAAATGTTTTCTTCTGGACCAGGGACCGTGAAATAGAGCAACTGAAGCAGCTTACAGTCACTCTTCAAGCCAACATTGTCAAAGAGGAGGAGACTGCAGCAGACCTCGAACTCAAATCCCGAGTCTTTTCCTTTGGAGAATACAAAGCTGACGTTCAGGTATGTATCTGAATGAAATCGATGACTAAACAACCTTGGCCAGGAGAAGAACAGATAACATGTGCCTGGAGATTGTCGCTGACAGGAGCTTGACACCTTTTTCTCTGGTGTGGGTTGAATAATACCGGAAGTGTTACTCCGGAGGAATTGCTGCGGAAGGAATGTGGTTGTTCCAGTCCCAGGTTCGTGGAGGTTAATACTGACTCCTGCCCGCAGGACAAAATGTTGGTGAGCTTGCATCGAAAGGTGCTGGAAGTCTACCGGCGCTGCATTGGGGAAAACGAGGCCAACCTGGGAACCCTGCAGATGCTAACTGTGATTGAGCACCAGCTGGACGACTTACTGGAGTGCCTGGAGAGGATCCCTCCGGCCAAGATAGAACAAGCTGAGAAGGCCAAGGAGAAGGAGCGAAGGATGAGGTCTGACGGGGGCCGCCCACTTCTTCGGGGAAGGGGCAGAGGGCACATTTGGAGGTTGGGGGAGGAAAGTGCTGTGGGCACCAGTCACAAAATGGCTGCCAAGGCATAATACAAAACAGCTGGGGAAACAAACCCAGCCAGATGGGCGGGGTATAAGTAATAAATTATTATTACTATTATTTAAAGAAGAGAGACAGCACCATCACTTCCAAGGGGAAAAGGGCACCTCATCACCATGCTCACTCGAGAGAGAGAAGCTCTTTGTTCTTCAGAACAGGAGCGTAGCTGATGGTGGTGGTGGTATTATTATTATTAATAATTATTATTATTGACCCAGCCACTCTGAGCGGCTCCCAACATATATAAAAACATAAGAAAACATGAAATATTAAAATGCTACCCTGTACAGAGTTGCCTTCAGTTGTCTTCTAAAGGTTTTTTAGTTATTCATCTCCTTGACATCTGATGGGAGGGTGTTCCACAGGGCGGGCGCCACTACTGAGAAGGCCCTCTGCCTGGTTCCCTGTAGCTCCACTTCTCGCAATAAATATGGGCATGTTTAAGGAGGTGGGTTCAATGTAGGAGAAACTGAGCCAGTGCAAATAAGATCTGAGCAGGAATAGCACACCTTCAGTCTTCTGCATTGTGGATTTACGAGGGCGTATTTCCTGGGTACCATTCACGGATGCTATTGCAGGTACTAGTGAGCACCCTGGCACCTGCAGGCACCATACTGCCTTATTGTCTCCAGTCCAAGTGAGAACATATAGAAAACTTGACCTGTGATGGAACCTGTGCTGTCTCTGCAAAGGAGGCAAGGCCTGCCAGATACTGTTAGTTGCTTGTCAGTCCTACTGTTTAAACAGTAAAACTAAATCAGTTGATTAATTGCACCAATTTATTAAAAAAATGCAACCTGAAAAATAAAATTAAGGCACAGAGAAAAAGTTCACCCCATTTTTGAAGGCTGAACCACAGCTGCACAGCTCAGAAACTTGTGGCAGATTCTGACTTAAAACTTTGAACTACCTCTGTTCAATTTACTTGGACAAGAGAATGTGCTAATGCCCAGTTTTAAACTGGGATTCAAAGCACAGGTGCATAGAACATTGTTCGCTTTCTCTTTCTGGTAGCAGCTGTCTTCCTCTGATAGACAGGGGCTTTTGTCACAGAACCCCATAAAGAGGCAATGGGCTGTGGCTCAATGGGAGAGCATCTGCTTTGCATGCAGGTCAGTTTTGATGCCCAGTGCCTCCAGTTAGGGCTAGCAGAGAAGCCGTGTCTGAAATTCTAGGAGAGCTGCTGCCAGTCAGTGTAGACAGTACCAAGCCAGATAGGCCAATGGTCTGACTTAGTAGAAGACAGCTTCTTATATTCTTAAGGGGCTGCCAGCAAAAAAAAGGGGGAAAAATTGGTCCTGTTTTTGTGTGTACATGGAAGCACATGGCATGGAAACGCCCGAGTCCCAGTCCTTGTGCTAATTCAACTTAATAGAAATCTAATCAGATAAAGTTGGCTTACATGACGTGTACTTCTAGCCCTTAATCTGTTTCATTTATTTTGCCAGGATGAGAGAAGAAAAGATAAGGCAGCAGAGGCTATTACAGGAAGAGAGGCTGCAGCGTGCACTGGCAAGAGCACAAGCTGATGTTAAGAGAAAGGTAAATCCAGCAATTCCAGACAACTGGTCCTTGTGCACTTCCTTGATTTCAGAATTGCAGCCGGCGCACAAACCTTTCTGCTCAGTCTCCTTCTGTAAGCCCAGTTCCACTAAGCGGTGGCTATAAAAAAGACAGGGCTTTTACTGAAACACTGCCTACACCTGTCCATTGCTTGGAAGAACAAGGGATGTTTGCCCAAAGAAACTTGATGGGCAGCTTCACTTGCTACAAGTGCACTTAAACTTACTAAGAGGTCGAGCACTCAGCAATTCAACAAGTTTTCTTTAGGCTTGCTGAGAAAAGCGTGGCTTGTTGCACAGGGTAGTGGAACAGCCTGAGAAGGCCCTTGGGCATCTCCGCTATGGGCTATCCCACTTCCTTTCAAGGAGCGTGTAAAATACAGAGATTGCAGTTGCCCATGCCTGGGATGGACTCAAGCAGCAGTGGTGATGGTGAGAGTAGGTGGAGTAGTAGGACAGTAGGTGGAGCCTGAGCCAAATGAGATTCCTGCATTGCAAGGGGTTGGACTAGATGACCCTTGGGTCCCTGCCAACTCTACAATTATATGGCTATGCTCTGCCTCCATATTCAGAGCTCCTGTATTTGTGAAGATGAACAATAGAAATCTGCCTGACTGGGTGTTACATATTTTACTTTGTAATGCAGAACAAGCTTTGCTGACCAGGCAAAGCTATTTTTAGCAATTTGGGAACCAATAAGAAAGGAAGGGGTGAACTTCATAGAAATGTTCTGGGAACAGCTGATCTTACTGTTTTTATAAGGCGACCAAATGTTTGTCCTCCTTCCAGTTGTTTTTAAGCACCTGGTAGCAGACAGGTTATCTTCTCTTAGCACCTCAGCCATTTACTGGGGCCTATGCTGCAAAAATGTGTGTGGGAACCTGCTGTGAACTTATAGCTTCTCTCTGGTGCCTGCTCCTTTATCAGTTATTAATCCTTTAGAGACCTATCATCTTTCACCATTACTGCTAAGCTTACACAGCTTTTGGGGGTCTTTATTGAAAACTCCAGAAGTCAAAGTATACAATGCCCACTGAATCACCCTATGATGTGCTAGTTGAAAACCCTGTGTGGTTTTAAGAACAGTAGGATCTTTGAGGTTGAAAAAAGCAGGAGCTTATCACATCCACTTAAGAGCAGTCTCACCTTTCACTTTCCACCTGCTGTTGTGGTTTGTAAGGCGCTTTCATGAGAAGCTGCCTCTTGAGCCAGAGTAATAGGAATGCAAAGCTGGACATGCTGATTTGGCAACCCTTCCCTCCCCCAATAAACCATGGCTGTAAGGTGGTGTAGTGCCAAACCAGCTTGGGCATATGGCTGAATGGTGCCATTATGGCAGCAACAAACTCAAAGAACCCACTGTGGTGCTCCGAGTTCCTATCTGCTCCTATCTGCCCTTAGCTTGTTATTGTGTGGTGCTTTCCATTACAAAAGATGTGGTTGTAGCACAAGGACAATTTTGTCAACTTTCTCTTGCAAGAGTTGCTACCTCAAAGATAACTTCTGATAGCACTATGCTAGTGCCAGACCTCCTCCTCCCTTTCACATGCCTCCTAAATCAGGTGCACTCAAGAATAGCAGCAGCATCTTAAATTGCAGCCAAGTGCTAACAGGATAATGAACCATCTACAGAGGGTTATTGGGTGGTTAGGAGGCAGTTGCACCACATACTCTGGGAGAGGGGAACATAGAATTAAGACAATGCAGCATCCTGCAGATGTTGCTGGACTCCAACACACAACATCCCTGCCTGTTCATCATACTAGCTAGAGCTGGTAGGAGTCCACCAACATTTGCAGGGCCACAGGTTAGCCACCCCAAGAATAAAGGTGCAGCCGTGCATCCTTTCTAGAACTGCCACATCACATGCGTTAGCCCTTTTGTTTCTGCTCTTTCAGAGAACCATAGGAAGAAACTACACTGGTGGTGGTTCATCTTTTTCTTCTGCAAAAAAAGCAAATACTGCAGTTGGCTCTGCTTTTGCAGATGTACTTTTTAAATGTTTTTGTTTATTTAAGTACACTTAGAGCTTATGGTTTCGGTAGTTTTAAATATCGCCATTTGCACACCACACATGAAAATTGCTAAGGGTTCTTCTGATGCCTGTCTTTAATGTGTCTTTTAGTCTGGCAGAAGGTTGATATTCCGGTCTGAGCCTCCTGCCTACAAAGAGAAGGAAGATGAGGATCAAGGACTCATAGACAAGGAAAAGGAAGAACTACTCTACTACTTTACTTAACAGCCCTAAAACTGTAAGAAATGCTGGAGAAATGTTTTGGTAGTTAGTACACTTTATCAATAATTTGTTCACTACTTTCATCCCATTTCCTCATTCTGGTTACATGTACAGCCCCCAGTAATCCAGGACAGACTACAAGTCAGCTTGTACACTGCTTTTAGTTGGACAATTCAGTTTTGCCTTTTTGTAAATAAAACTGCTTTTTTAAAATCTAACAGGCCACCATGGTTAGCAAGAGCAAGCAGTCCGATGCTTTGATTTCAGTCTTGAGTCCTGGAGATACAAAAATGAAAGGATTTCTGCTATTCAGAGATTTCAAGTCTCCAAAATTAGAAAGGTGTTTACAACTTTGCTTCTCTTGCAGTTAAGAAGCATCCTGATTGGAAACAACAAAAAACAACTGAAATGGAGAAACTGGACATTAGGTTTTTTTTATTAGTCTCTTTGTCTCACCAGTTCTTTAGATGTCCACTGCCAGCAATGGACTTAGGCAGAATAAATCTGATGTTGACCTTTAAGCCCTTACCCTTCAATGTTTACTACAAATTCCACTGTAGGAATTTACAAAGCCAAGTAAATGATTTTTAAAAAGTAGACATGTTTACAAGTCTCAGGGGAAAAACAACCCACATGTGACTTATTCATAACTCTGCAAAACAGAAGCACCACGTTTTGATGGGCCCAGTTCATACTCTTACCTAGGCTGTGATCCTTTCAGCAGTAAATGAATGGGTGTGCTGTCCCCACCCTCCCTGCATCAAAGGTAACTGTTTACCAGGCACTCTATGTAAAAAGCTGTAGAGGAATTCTTCTTGTTCAAGAAAGGGGTGAGGGAGTAGAAAGAACAGGAGATGAAAAGGCCTCACCACAGAGCAGCCCAAGTTACCTCTGAGGATCACTGCCAAAATGAAGTGTATGAACCAACCCCACAGAATAAAGAATTTGAGGTGACTTTTTTGGGGGGGGTGCAAGCCTCCAATACTCTTTTAAGCAAAGTCATACATCTGCAGACTACTCAGAGTTTTAGTTTCTCTTAAACTGAACTTTAGTGATATAAAAAAAAGGTTGAATGAGTTAGCAGTTTCTTCACTCGGTTCATCTAAGGCAGTGGTGGAAAACCATAGTCTCTTCTGGGCAAGCTGCTAAGTGCCACCTGCCAGCCATGAGTGGAATCAGAGGCAAAAGTGGGTGGGGGAATGAATATTCATTTCACCTTTCTACAGTAAGCCAGTTTCCACACACTACGAGTACTCATAGCAGATTCACTGAAATTAATAGACATGACGTGACTTAAGGTTATTAGTGTCAGTGCTGCTTCTTGGGAGTAAAACTTAGCTGAATACAGCCTGCTCCTCTCAGTCATCCACCTGGGGAAGCAAGAGGCATTGTCAGAATTCAAGGATACATTCCAGCCATGCAAAGACTCAAGGAGGGGTGGCGAGGAATGTGGCCTAGAGCCAGTCCCAAGGGCCAGAGAAAGAGACAGGCAGGCAGGGCAGTATTTGGCCACATGGTTCCCCATTCTGATCTAAAGGAAACAAAAATTAACTATAGTTCTTCATTTAGTGAACTTAGTATACCAGGGCAAGGCGGTAATCAGGTAAGTTACACCACTGACAATTAAGAAATAAAGCAGTTAAGAATTTTTTTAAAATACCCATAAATTAAATCTGAAGTGATGTATAATCAGTATAAAAATGCCTTTACAATTTCAGGGAAAGTAAGTAAAAAGGCACAGGAATCAGTACATTTCTAATTACTTATGGGCAAGCCCCCTCTCAATCTTAATTTGGAATGAGCTTATTGAAGTGATGCATGGTCCAATAATAGCAGAAAATCATTTCCAGGGCCATTCTAGTCAAGTTGTGCTCTCGATTACATGCTATGGAGTAAGGATAGGTCCAAGCAACACATCCCCAGGCATTAGGGATGTACCAGGAAAATCTTCTGAAAGGATGACAGAAATCCTGGTATACAGAATGCTACCATCAGAGACACTTGGACCAGCTCACCTCATTGCCATTGTTGCCAGGTAAGTCTGGGTGGCTGCAGAATTAGTCCATTCCAAATTGTGCATGAGCTTCAGAGGCATATGGGCCGAGAAGGGTCCAGTCTGGGGAACTCTGTTTCTTACCACCACCACTCATGCTTTTCAGCTAGCTACCCTCTTATTAGTGCATTCCATGACTTCAAATAAATATACACAAGGTCAGATCACATGTGTTCATCTGCAGGATATCATACTTTGTAAAAAATAGAACTGCATATGCACGCTCACACTGCAGGAATAAAAATTCATACATACACACGCTGCTTTTTAACAAAGTCCTATATATAGATACATATATATAATTTTACATCCTTGTGGCACATCATGAAAAAAGTATGTTTAAAATTCCAGCCTTGATGTTTGTTGTTGGAACACCAAGTTCTTATATTCTATGTTCAACTGAAATCTTGACATTTGCTTTTTAAAAGTCTACAGAACTGCTTTCCTATCAACTAAAGTAAAAAAGGCAGGTTCCTATTTAAATTAAATATGCACTTTCCTTCTGGGTCAAGTAACTCACCTGCATCTCAAATCCTATGACACTAGCTGGAAGCTCTTTGCTCAAGTATATAGTCTGTGTAAATGGCACATGGACCAAGAATGCAATCCTATGCACATTAACTTGGGAATAAATTTATTTCCAAGAAAACATGCATGGGACTGGGCTATACATACTGAAAGTGGCAACTTCACAGGAATTGGCAATACTGTTTTGTATTACTGTAAACATATTCAAGGGTAAGAATTAGCATCTGCTAGGCAGCCTCCTAAAAGGTAGAAAGTGTATACTGCACCATATCAGGGATGGAAGGAGCAAGGAACAACAAGGTTCAACTTCTGCTACCCCCAAGAACTGTATTATCATTCTGCAATTATTTCCTTAAAATTATATTCAATGCCATCAGAGAAAACAGTCCGATAATAAACACTTCAATGGCCTTAACTGCCAAGTCCAATATTCAACTAGGGGCACTAATTATGTGTATGGGTTTTACACTGCTAAGTGTAACTGTTGATATTGCAGCACTGTCCTTGAAGACAACAGTATGGAGTACAATCACAGCATGTCCATTCTAAGATAGGGTTTCAAAACATCCACTGCATAATCTAAATAATGCTTCCATAATCACATTTTTCTGATCACAAGACAGAACATACCAAGATCTCCAAAGCCTTATCAAATAAAATTTACTGAACAGGTTTCCATTGCACGATAACCATCAAGCCACGAAGTAGCACTGATGTGTGCCCACTCCTATTTTTTTCCTTCAGAAGTAGGAACAAGTTTCTACTTCTCAAGATGCTGTACTTGAATGTTTCTGTCCGCAGCACAATCATTCAAGGTCTTGTAGGTTAATGGTGCTTCCTGTAAACTGAGAATTATCAGAACTGGCATCCTCTTCGGTAGAGTTGTGTGGCTCCTGTACAAAAGCACAGAAAAAAAATTCACAAAGTGACATAGGCATTCCAAGTTTCACAGATACATATGGCTGATTTAATAAGCTTCCAAATTCCATCTCTGGGAAGATCACACACACTGGATGATTTAAAAAAATCATACTCTTCTACAGTCTGCTTTTGGTCTTTTACCATTTATCCATCAAATTTTAAACAAGCAAAAAAAGCATACAGAAAAGGCATCTTTTAAAAACTTATAGCAGCTGTCAATTTGTATCACGCAGGGCAACCGGAATTTGTGTTGATGTCCAATTTTAAAACACAAAAGGGGTTGTACCTGAAGGATATGAACAGGCAAGTCTACTGTCAGCTGAGAATGTGAAGACGATGACTGAGAACTGAGCTGAAATGGCAAATCTCCCTCTCCTGGGGAATCATCCTAAAGAGAAATGAGACAAGATCAGTTTCTAGCCACAGAAAAATCCCAATGGAAACCTAATCTTCTGCTATAAACATATGGAAACATTTGGAAGTGGCAACATGTCTAATTAGCTATGCATATTTAAGGCTCTCCATCCTGAAAGTAGAAATCTTAAATCATTTCTATGAAATATTTAAATATATAAATCATGCTGCCACCCAATTATGGAATGAAAAATATTTACAGTCATACCTTGGTTGACGAACGCCTTGCGACTCAAATGTTTTGGCTCCCAAATGGCGCAAACTCGGAAGAGAGTGTTCCGGTTTACGACCGTTCTTTGGAACTTGAACATCTGATGTGGCTTTCATGGCTTCCAATTGACTGCAGGAGCTTCCTGCAACCAATTGGAAGTCACACCTTGGTTTCCAAACGTTTTGGAAGTCAAACAGATTTCTGGAACGGATTCCGTTCTACTTCCAAAATACCACTGTACTTAGTTACTTTATTCACTATAAGCAGACAGTTATTAAATGGTAATATTCATCTAGCTTATTGTTCCATGGACACCATCCTCTGCATATACTAAATGCAAAAACAAGAGAGTACTTCATACAACCAAGTACTGATCTAAATGGTATCCCTTTGCTAAAGGAAGGCTTTTTGACCCAGTGGAGCTTTCAGACAGCAGAACAAGAATAAAGGGAATCTTCAGGTACCTCCCCCTCCCTACACCACCACTTCCTATGCTGTTCCAAAGGGCCCAACCCTCCAGAGCACATCAAACCTGTTTTTATTAATCACCATTTGCAAATTGGTTACACTTGTTTTAGACAAAGGGGTCACTTCACCTGGGACACCTGCCAGTCTACTGTATACCAGCTCATCTTCACCCCTCCACCCTGACTTTACCACCAACTGTTTGTTTGAATGTGTTGCTGCCCGTTTACTGTTTTGTTTTAACATATTCCCAATCCATTTCACATATATATATTTCAACAGTTTTCGTTTTCAGTAAACAAGTGAGGGAAGGGGTTATCATGTGATGGGTAGAGAAGAGAGCTGAAAGGTTGAGAATAACAACAACAACAACAACTTTTATTTGTATCCCGCCTTCCCTGGCCAAGACTGGGCTCAGGGCGGCTAACATCAAATATATAAGATTGGTATAAAATCAAACAATAATTAAATTACCTCCTAAAAACAAGTTGGGATAGTTTGCAAGTTATTTTGTAAATGCCCTCCAGGGATGTTGCATCTGAACTATATAATGGATCATCATGCACACCAAGAACCACTTACCAGTTGCATAAAAGTAGATGTATAGTGTACATTTCTAAATACATAATTTAAAAATGAAGTGTGTAAATAAAGTCAGGTAGTGAATTCTTACCTGAAGTAGCTGGATTTGAACAAACTGTGTGCCAGCTGAGGAATCTCTTACTGTTAGGTTTCCATTTGGCAAAACACTATTGCATGACAGATTCCCATGGTTAGAAGAACTAACTTTATCACTTTTGCCTTTTCTTATGCCAGAGTTAGGGCTTCCTGAAATAAAGTAATTGACGTGTGTAATACAAAGTCATGTTCCAAGGAATTGAACATATGTGCTTCTAAATAATGTATTTCAAAAAAGCTTTTAATATAACAATATATGCTTTTCACCAAAGAAAGTAGGTAACTCGGTAGTAGATAATACTACACATGGCATATAAAAACATGGAGCTGAATCCTGATATCCCATTAGTGGAACTCAGCTCACAGAATCCTGTACCTCATAGCAGTGTTTGAAACTCCCATTGTTCTAGGTGCATTTTGTGACAGGGAATTTCATTAGTGCAAGCAGTTTCTGAGCTCTGGGTGCAGCACTGCACCTAAGATTTAAGATTAAAATTGCAGAGTGGAAGGAAAGGAGGACTTTTTTTCTGTCTCCCCACTTCCAGCTACTCTCTGAAGACTGGAGAAGAGATCCTCGTAAGAATTTCAGGCCTCACCATCGGCTGAACTGCCCTTGGTCGCGCTGGTTTGATGAATCTCCGCGGGCTAGGGACAAAAGGTGAGAGCTGTTTCCTAGTTCTGCGGATCCTCTAGCGGCCTTGTGACCCCATCGACCATTAACATCCTTCTGGACCGTATAGAGGGGCTGGGAGCTGGGGGCACTGTTATACGGTGGTTCCGCTCTTTCTCCTGGGGCCCGTGTCCAGAAAGTGGTGGGTGGGGGAGGTGAGTGTGTCAGCCCCCTTGGGCTTCGTCACTTGTGGGGTGACACTCAGGGTTCGTCCTCTCCCCTGGCTTTTAATACTAGTATGAACCGCTGGAGAGATCATGCAGGGGGTTTAGGGGCTGGGTGTTCATCAGTATGCAGATGACACCCAGCTCTACCTCTCCTTTAAATCAGAACCAGTGAAGGCGGTGAAGGTCCTGTGTGAGTGCCTGGAGGCTGTTGGAGGATGGATGGCGGCTAACAGATTGAGGCTGAATCCTGACAAGACAGAAGTACTGTTTTTGGGGGACAGGGGGCGGGCGGGTGTGGGGGATTCCCTGGTCCTGAATGGGGTAACTGTGCCCCTGAAGGACCAGGTGCGCAGCCTGGGAGTCATTTTGGACTCACAGCTGTCCATGGAGGCACAGGTTAATTCTGTGTCCAGGGCAGCTGTCTACCAGCTCCACCTGGTACGCAGGCTAAGACCCTACCTGCCCGCAGACTGTCTTGCCAGAGTGGTGCATGCTCTAGTTATCTCCCGCTTGGACTACTGCAACACGCTCTACGTGGGGCTACCTTTGAAGGTGACCCGGAAACTGCAATTAATCCAGAATGCGGCCGCTAGACTGGTGACTGGGAGTGGCCGCCGGGACCACATAACACCAGTTCTGAGAGATCTGCATTGGCTCCCAGTACGTTTCCGAGCACAATTCAAAGTGTTGGTGCTGACCTTTAAAGCCCTAAACGGCCTCGGTCCAGTATATCTGAAGGAGCGTCTCCACCCCCATCGTTCAGCCCGAACACTGAGATCCAGCGCCGAGGGCCTTCTGGCGGTTCCCTCATTGCGAGAAGTAAGGTTACAGGGAACCAGGCAGAGGGCCTTCTCAGTAGTGGCTCCTGCCCTGTGGAACGCCCTCCCAGCAGATGTCAAAGCAATAAACAACTATTTTACTTTTAAAAGTCATCTGAAGGCAGCCCTCTTTAGGGAAGTTTTTAATGTTTGATGCTGTACTGTTTTTAATATTCAGTTGGAAGCCGCCCAGAGTGGCTGGGGAAACCCAGCCAGATGGGCGGGGTATAAATAATAAATTATTATTATTATTATTATAATATTAGGGGGGTGGGCACGGAAAGAACTAGATCATGTGAAAAATGAACATAGTATTTTAGCTGCAGTTCTTTCTTTTTCAGCTTTGTATTCTTGTTATAAAAGAGTGTGCCTAGACATTCCATTCTAGTGACTATAACCTAGGTTTAAGGTGCCATTTAGCTCCTAGCTTTCATATCTCTGTTTCTAACACTGCCTCATAGGGGAAAAAGAGGGGGTTTCCTCCAATGCCATCTTCAGGAACCAGTCTCTATCCCCCATATACTCCAAAACAGTGAGGGAACCTCGGGAACAACAGTGGGAAATTGGAGAAAGTTACCTCCCTTTCAGTGAGCTATAGTTTCTGAAGGATCAGCAGTCCATTCACTCACAAAAGAACTAAAGAACTAGTCCTGATCAAAGCGTGGTGAATGGTAAGACTAAGTTGCAACAATTTCTAAGGTACATGAGATTACACACACTTTATGTATCAATCTTCCTATAAACATAAAAAGTCAGGTTGTAAGGTGCACCAAATAAGGCCAGACATGCTGGAAGGTCTCCCTCTTTATACAGTCAGAGAATTGGTCATCCAGCCCAATATCACATTACAGGCTTTAGATGAGCCATTAAATAGGGGAATAGGTAATACAGACTTTCAGCTACCCCTGCTTATGCCTCATCAAAAATCAATCTGGCATGTATACATACAGCAAGCTTTTACTGGGGGATGGGAGGATGACAACAATTTCTCTTTTTCTTACTAGTGAAAAATTAATTTCAGATAAGTACTGGAAGCAAGGAGGGCAAGTCAACTGTGTTTTTATCTCTCTGCTCATTGTCATATCATAAATAGCTCTGAATTCCTAACTATGCACAAGTAAGTTGCATTTATTTAAAATGGTGAAAGGCATTCCATGTGACTGAAGCAACTTGGGCCTCTAGTGACAAAGATGCGTCCAAGAGAAACTGGACCACAAACACACAGGTCTAACGGTAGAAGGGGGTAAGGCCAAGAATCCAGAGAGATAAAGGTACCGGTAAGTACACCTCTGTCTCAGGTGAGGCAAAGACTTAAACTGAAAGAGTGACCAACCACTGGAAGATGAACTATAAAAGCTGTTGATGTAGTTCCTCGCCTTTTCTGGAGCAGCAGGAGGAACAATAGTTAGGATGATTCACCAGACCTTAAGGTCTCCATCTTAAGGAGCAGTTTCACCATTGTCCACTTCAAAGGTGGTGGGAACAGACCCTCTTCAAATACATTAATTACCTCCTAGACCAACCCAGTTACTTCACTTCTCCAAATATAATTACTAATGAACAGCATGGACTGAGCACACAAGAGTATGACCAAATTTCTCTTAACACCATGTTTACATCCTTAAGTCACAATAACTGAAAAAACCAATCCAACAAAACTGGACCACTCTGTGTCCTAGACAAAGCAACAGAAACTGCTTTACGCACAGCATCAAGGTCAGAGCAGATATGATTATAATCAATGTGTACATGCCCGAGGAAGGATTAGTAAACACGGTTAGGATTGGGTGATAAGGGTATTTTACAATTACCATTTCATACAAAAGCAAACATTTAAGAAACAGGGAAAGAGCTTCATTAAGCAATATTTCATTGTACTTCAGTGTTCTATCATCCATGGGTGTTGTAGAGAATACCCACTACTAGAACATAGCAAAATTACCCCAATTTGAGCAAGTCTTCTAAGAAGTGAGGCTCTATTCACGCGAATAGCCCCAAACTAACCATGATACTACCTTAGTAATCTATGATGGCTTGTACCAGGCACACACACAAGTCTTCAAAACAATTTCACTCGGTAAATGGCATCCTGTGCTGGAACAATTATATACTCACCTATGTCATTCCCATTTTCTTTCTGTTTTCTTTTCTTGGCAAGCTGAATGGCTCGATAATCTGTTCTTGCAGACCCACCACTCTCCTAATGAGAGAAGGAGGTTTATGCATGTCATCAATACAACAGGATTCTTAGGATTATTAGGTTCACATTTTAGACAATATGCTTTTCCAAACATCACTGAATAGATCCCTAGAAGTCTCCCTGCATGGTCTGAACTTTTTCTATGCTAATCAGCTTAACAGTTTAATGGGATAGTGATGCCAGCATAGGGAAATTCAATATTGAGGTCACCCACTTATCTGACTCGCAGGGGATTGGAAGTACTGCATTAAGAAGACTACCACCGAAACACGTTTTGGAAATGCAGCTCAAGACTATGGTCCTCTGTCTTCCTCAAACTAACGCAAGTGTTTAATTCAACTACCACTCAGAAACCCTGTTTTTGCTGCATGTGGGATAATAATAATAATAATAATAATAATAATAATAATAATAATAATAAGACAAGGATCAGAAGAGAAGGAACTCTTCAAGATATTGCATTCCATTTTCCTTGTTCTATAAGCAGCGAACAGGGCACTCCTTTTTATTTAGTCAGTTCCAAAGTCAACCATCACTCACTTTTGAGTACTTACAACAACTTGGGAAAAGAGGTTAATAGCACTAAGCTCCAGCTGGGAAAACAAAAAGCAAACTTTCCTCCAAATGTGTAACTGGGTGTAATACTTTCACAGGCAACCACAACTTATACCACTTACGTTGTACAAAACATACGACGACTTCGTTCGTGGCAGACATTCCACAAACCCATTTGATCTGGTAGAAAGGATGGCTCATATACGGCAATATAATATCCTCAAAGCTAAGATACTAATGAAAACTACAGTTATTGAGAGCTACTGCATACCAGAAAGGAGCTGCCAGTCACCGTGCTCAGATCAGTTTCTTTCTGTGCACTGTAACTTCCTGGAGGGTTGGAGAACACAAACTGAGTCACCACTTTACTGCCTTCTTGCTGTCCCACAACATCCAGGCTAGGAAGTAAAGTTTGCTCTGCTTTACTTGGAGCCAGTAATTCAGATGCATTATTTCCACCAAGGCTGCTTGAAGGGGTTAAAGTGGCTGTGTCTACTGACAGGTTATTACTGGAAGTCAAACCATGCAGGTCTTGACTGGAACTCCTTGTGGACAATGATGCTAGGGAGCCTAAGGCTTCTGCATTCACAGTCTGTACATCATCCAAATTTAAAGTGCTTTGCTGTAAAACTGTGGCAGTGGTTCCCAGCAGAAGAGAGCTGTCCAGGCTGTGTGGAATGTCACTGCTAGCCACTAAAATCAGTGGGTCAACTGTCTGACCAAGAGAACTGCTACCAACAGAAAGATTGCCCCCAAGCGTGGAGCCAACGGAAGCAACATCTATTGTGAGAATTCCAGAGTTTATCAGAGCCATGTCTGTTGAAATTCCAGAGGTGTTCCCAGAAACACTGGAAAAAAGGGACACAAGGTCTACATTGCTGAGGTCACTTTGTCCTGAACTGGCAAGTTCGCTGCTAGGCGTGAGGGAACCGATAGTTTCCATCTGATTTAAGAGATCTGAAACAAAGATTTAGCATGTTAGTACCACCATGGAACATGGGAATCAAAGGCCAACAATAAACCCCACCTGCTGCCTCTACTTCCAACTTGGCTGCCCTGCCATTCCTCCAAACACCCTGCTGTCTAAATCACTCCAGCCAACATCCTTCTCTCCTTGCAGAAGCCAATGTTAGCTAGGAGCCTATTTCTGCTTGTCACTATTCTAGTCTGTCCTTTCGGATCATTTTCAAACCCTGCCTCCCTGATATGCACACACAGTGGCATGGCTGCTGTTCAATGTCATTTTCATGTGGTCAGGGTGCCACATACTATGAGAATGGCTTGAATCAGTTTCCTGTATTTTATGCAGACTGAGAGGTACACGCTGCATTTCCCCAGATTCTGGCACCATTACTTACCACTCAGTTTGGCTAAACCACATAGGAAACAAATTCATGCAGTTCTCACAACCACGTAGAGCTTCTATCATACAGAAGCAATTTTCAGTGGCAAACAAGCCACTACTGTAAAGGTAAAGGTACCCCTGCCCGTACGGGCCAGTCTTGACAGACTCTAGGGTTGTGCGCCCATCTCACTCAAGAGGCCGGGGGCCAGCGCTGTCCGGAGACACTTCCGAGTCACGTGGCCAGCGTGACATCGCTGCTCTGGCAAGCCAGAGCCGCACACGGAAACGCTGTTTACCTTCCTGCTAGTAAGCGGTCCCTATTTATCTACTTGTACTCGGAGGTGCTTTCAAACTGCTAGGTTGGCAGGCGCTGGGACCGAACAACGGGAGCGCACCCCGCCGCGGGGATTCGAACCGCCGACCTTTTCGATCGGCAAGCCCTAGGCGCTGAGGCTTTTACCCACAGCGCCACCCGCGTGGTCTAGAAAGCCACTACTGTAGTTATATGGAATTGATCATAAAGTGTCTGGAAGCATGAGATCAATGTCTGAGAAAACCACAAGTTGACACCAGTATCACTCAGTCACTGCTCCTGCTATAAGTTAGGAAATACTATTATAAATTAATGCCCTCCTTTTAAAAGGATACAACACCCCATAGTAATTAAATGGCAAGGACTTAGAAGAAAAGCATTTGAAACCACAACTTATTGGGCTTTCTAAAATAACCAGTGTTTCAATACCAAAAATTAATATATTATGTTTTAGATACAACACATACCAGCCTTGACTTATTGCCAAGCAGTCAGTCAATGGGTCATACCTGCACTAAAATTGTGTTGCTTGACCATGTGTGTTTTCATACTATGCTTGGAAGTGAACAATTTATTACAGCTGGATACAGGGCAACGCGTCTTCAGTGAGTCCACATCCTGAAGGTGTTTTTTGGAGTGAATATACAGACTACTACGTGCAGAGAACTTTGCACAACAACCTGAAATAAGATATCAAAGTTTAGATACTGTCCCTTAATTTGCATTTTTAAATTATATCCTCTTTTCATTTGGATGCCAAAGGCAATTATCAGGATTCCCATTCCACAAAATTATCTGTGTCATGATTTTTTTGTATGTATTGTCATAAAAAATGTGGAAATGTTATTAATACAAAGTAATATAATATGGAAAATCCATTTAGACTGCAATCCTATACTCACTACAGTACTTGGGAATAAACTCCAATATGGGAATTACTTCTCATCAGACATAGGCTGTTAGTGTGGAAAACTTAAAATGTCACAAACAAGCATGTATAGGGTATCCAAAAGTGTCAGAACAAAACCGAAAACACCTTTTTAAAAAGTAGTTGTGGAGAGGAAAACACTAAAGGGTTTCTCCTATCCATGCTGTGCTATGAACGTGCTTTTCTCCCCATTGTATGATTCAGCAACAATTCAAATCTGATGCATAGAGCAGCTGCCATCTTCATTTAACCCTCTCTGCATGACTAGGAACAAAGGAGATAAACACAAGCATACAAGAGCACATATACAAATAATACCTTCTACTGGGCATTCGAATGGCTTTGTGCCAAGATGAGTTATACTATGGCCTTTCAAGTGTTCGGCTCTTGTGAAGGATTTTCCACAGCCTTCTACAGAACATGTAAACCTTCTGTCATCTTCATGTTTCCTACAATAAGAATTAAATAAATTCAATATAAAATGCTAAGGGCACAGGCATCAATGATTATAGGTTGGATCCTAATCATTTTAGCTGAACATGTGCATATTGCTATACTGTACCTGGAACACTTAAACCAGAATTCCACAATCTGGAACCCTTCAGCTGTTTTAGACAACAACTCAGATCAACCCCAGCCAGAGGGGCCATGCTGGCTGGGGCCCAACAGCACCAAAAATAATATTCCAGATAAAATGCATATGCCTTTCCCATGGGAAGCAAAGCTCATTTATCTTCTTGTATTCATCTCTTTCCCTTTGCGCACCCTCCCGATTTTATTTCCCCCAATGTAAATGTTTAAAGTGCAAGCTCTTTGAGGACCTCTCTAAACAGCCATGTACAGTCAGGTAATTTACCTTTTGTGCCTTAATAGCTTGGACATGCTAGTGAAAGACCAGCCACAACCTTCAAAGTCACAGATGAAAGGTCTTTCACCTGGAGGAAAGCAAAAGCAAAAAAATTTTTTTAAAAAACGAATGCAATTACCCGACATTTCTGATAAAAAAACCCCACAACTGCTCACACTCACATGTTATTCAGGAAGTCTAATAATTTTATGTTTACTACTGATTTAATTGTTCTGTTTTGTACAGCTTATGAGCTATTTGAGAACCTTAGCTAAAACCAGTTCATTAAATTTTAAAATAAATAGAAGAAACATTCTCACCCATCCAATGACCCTTCTGCCTGATTCCTCTCTTGAGTTAAATGGCTATTGGTTCTTTAACGCCAGAAGATTCAGAGCAAGTCATGCATATAGCTTACATTGCTCAAAATGCTGCTGACCCCAGGCAAGCAATATGCACAGTTGTTTAAAGGACACTCTCCCTATAAATCTGAAAATACTATTTCAAGTCTACCAAATCCAAGGAAGCCTTACTTTTATCAATCAGTTAAACATTAAGTTCTATTTGCTTCCACCTCCCACTCACTTAAGCTCAGGTTTGCTGGTTTTATTTAAGTAGAAGTTAACTTCTACTTAAGATAGCAAGCTAGCAGTGCACCTAAGAACACAGAACAACATCAGGATTCAAGTAAATCAAATAGATTGGGGGAGGGAAACCCACACACAAAACTGTGTTTATTCCTTAGTACCACAACTCCATCTAAGAATCAAGGACACATTTCAATTCAACATAATCAGTTTATCTAATAATGACAAACCAACTTTAACTAATGCCCTAGCTTCACACCTGTGTGACTTCTCATGTGGATTTTCAGTCGGCAGGCTTTGTCGTACTGCTTGTTGCAGCCGGGGAAGGAGCAGGAGAACAGTTCTTGTTCCCTGAAGTGGATTCGATTATGAGAAAATAATGCACTCACTGTTATGAAGGTCCTCTCACAACCTAGAGAAAGAAGGGAAGAACCAAACTCTGCTTCAGTGGAAAACAAAACAATTGGGCATTACCATGAACTAGAATATTATTATTACCGCGATCTAGAAAAGTTCATGGTAATAATATTATCATTTAAATTGTTTTAATGGTGTATCGTACTGTGTATATTACATTGACATATCATTTCTAAGTACTATAGGGGGAATTGCCTGAAAAGTGGTCTACAACCCCATTAAATAACAGTAAATAACTAACTAGATAGATAGATAGATAGATAGATAGATAGATATCTCATTAAACTATGAAGACCTTTCTGGTAAATTGCTCTGGACTAAGTTTATTTCCAATACTGCAATGTACTGCAGTATAATGTTACAGCTGAAGTTAGTTTTTTGCGTCTCCTTTTCACTAGCACACTGTCATTCTTATACATCACTCTGCAATTTCCCTTTCTTCTAAACTGGAGTGCAAATTTTCTGGTTGTTTCGCTAACCTTTATTTTCCACATCTAATATTGTAGCATTCCAGCATGGTAAGCATTCAAATGTACAGAGACAATGTACATGATAGCTAATCTTAGATTATCTCAGAGTACCAAATGCAGAAAACAAACAACAGATGAAGGCCTGTATGTCTGCCTTCTGTGCTTCTTTCTTGGAAACAGAATGCTGAAAGTTATGCACAAGTCTAAATATTACAGTGCACTTATATTGAACCCCACTACAGGGTCATTCCATATCAAGTGATCCAATTTTTTTACCTCATCCAATTTTCTTAATATTTTGTACACTTGTTGAATGATCAAAACTAAGTTTATATCTAACATTTTATTTTTTTAAAAAAGTGTACAAAATATTAAGAAAACTGGATGACATGAGGTAAAAAAAATATATGAATCATTTGATATGGAATGACCCTACAGCACTGTGGATGTTCTGGCTTGGATTCAAACCCTCACTTACCTAAAAAGCTCAACGAGTAATTTCGGGTCTTATCACTATCTCTATTCTATCCCACAAGGTGCCGAAAACACCTAATGAAGAGGGCAGGGCAAAGTATTTTTTCTTAGAGAGATTAGTACTGCAAGTGGGTACTGAGATTGCGATTCAACTCTCTTCCGCTTTTTCCACTGTGCAAAACAAATCCACATTGCACATTTAAAGTGCACGACTTCTCCCCAAAGAATAATGGGAACCGCAGTTTGTTGAGGGTGCTGGAACTGGTAACTGGAAGCTGGTTTCCAAGGATTCTCTGATGGAATTCGTGCGCTTTAAATGTGCAATGGATGCAGCCAGCAATCCGGGGGTGCTGCCTACCTACAAGTCCAAACGGATTTTGAGGCGGGGCTCTTATCAAAGTCCGAAAGGCCGAGACTTGTTGACCTTTGTAATAATAATAAGAGGGAGAGTCAGAGCTGCCGGCTGCTTACCTGGATACTCGCAGCGGTAAGGCCGGTCGGGCTCCAGGTGGCTCCTCCGCTGGTGAGCGCCGAGGCGGGCGGCGCTGGGGAAGCGCTGCCCACACGCCTCGCACTTGTGCGTCGCCTCCTGCTCGTGGGCCCGGCCGTGCGCCCGCAGGTTGTAGATGGTGGTGAAGCGCTTCGAGCAGCCGGGAGCCGAGCAGGCGAAAGGCCGCAGCTTGTCGTGCGAGTGCAGGTGGCGCCGCAGCTTGTAGGCCGTGGCGAAGGCCCAAGAGCAGCCGGGGACCGGGCAGGAGAAGGGCCGCGCCGCCCGCCCGGAGCCCCCCGACGCCGCTTCTTCTCCCGCTCCTCCTCCTCCGCCGCCATCCTGCGCCGTAACAGCAGCGCCGCCGCCGCCGCCTCCGTGCGCGGACAGGCGGTGTAGTCGCAGCAGCTGCTTGCGGGAGAAGACCTCTTCGCAGCGGGGCTCGGGGCAAGAATAAGGCGCGGGAGTCCGAGACGGGCCTCCTGCCGAGGCCTCGTCGGCAGCGCCGGAGGAGCGCAGCGCCTGAGGAGGAGGAAGGAGCGGCGCGGGAGGTGGAGGCGGCTGCGCGGGCCCGCCGAGGCTGAGCAGCCCGTTCTCGAAGCGCACCAGCAGGCTTTGGTTGTTGATGGTGAGCGTGCCCGAGAACGAGGAGCCGGCGGCGCCGGGGTCGTCGTCCTCTGCCGCCGCCTGTCCGCTCCCCTCAGGTACGGGCCCGGAAGCCTCGGCCTCGAGTGCACCTTCCCCCCCGCCGTCGCCGGGCTTCTCCTCTCGCGGAGGCGGAGGCTGCTGCGTCGTGGTGGTGGCGGCGGGTTCCTGCGAGGGGCTTCCGGAGGCTCCGCCCCGCACCAAGTTGAGCACCAGCAGCAGAGCGTCGCTGTCGTGCGGCTGCCCGGGGCCCGCGGGCGGCAGGGCCAAGGCGCTGCTCGCGGAAGGCCCTTGCGGAGGTTGCTGAGGGGCGGGCGGCGGAGGAAGAGGGGGAGGAGGCGGCAATGGCGGCGGCGGTTGCTGCTGCTGAGGCGGTTCCGGCGGCTTCTTGCCCTCCAGGAGCAGCAGCACCGGGAATGTCACGTCCAGGCCCCAGGCTCCCGCTGCCGCTCCCGCCCCAGAGTCCCGCGGCTGCGGGGGTCGGCGGGCGGGCCCTGAGGAAGAAGCCCCCTCTCCAACGGCCGCGGCGCCGCTGCCGCCATGTTGGTGGGTGCCGGGCTCGGGCCGGGCCGCCTGCACCGCGGCAGGCAGCCCCTGCGTTTCCATCTTGGGGGTCCCTGTAGCAGCGGCTGAAACCGGAGCCGCGGGGCGGGGCCGGCGGGGCGGGCGGAGAAACCCGGAATGCGGATCGCTCAGCGAGAGAGAGACAACAGCTCAGAGAGGGGATCCGGAGCTAACGCGGCTGGGTGGAAAACCCGGACACGGGATTGCTATGTGGAGTGTGCAATAGCGCAGGAAGGTGCGCCTCGCGGAGCGGAATTGGGAAATTGGAGAGAAGTCGGGGGAAAGGGTATGCAAAAATTAGAGCAGTCGTCTTGGATCAGGCCAGTGGCCCATCCCGTCTTAACACCCTGTTCTCACAGTGGCCAATCGGATGCCCGTGGGAAACCTGCAAGCAGGGCTGACGCGCAAGAGCCGTCTTCCCTCTCCTGTGGTTTCCAGCAACTGGAATTCAGAAATATTGCTGCTTTCGACTGTGGAGGCAGGGCTATAGCCATCGTGGAGCTATTGATAGCCCCTCTCCTCCATGAGGTTGCCTAATCCAGTGTTTCCCAACCGGTGTTCCGCAGCACACTGGTGTGCCGTGAGACCTTGCCTGGTGTGCCGTGGGAGGGAGGTGGGGCGGCGGCGGCATCTCCTGCTGGATGCAAATCCAAACATGGCGGGCGCCTCCCTCGCTCCTTTGTAGGCGGACCATCGAGAGAGAAAGAAAAGGAGGCGAAAGAGCGAGAGAAGGCGCCTGCGCGGAAAGAGGGGCGAGCAGTGCGCCTGCGCGCCGCGGCGCCCGAGATCGCTTCTTCCCACCGCCCCTTGCTTCAAAAGAGGTCCGGGGACAGCGGGAAGCGCTTCGCACTGCCCCCGGACCTCTTTTGAAGCAAGGGTTTGCGGGGAGAAGCGATCTCCCCGCAGCCCCTTGCTTCAAAAGAGGTCCGGGGGCAGCGGGAAGCGCAGCGCTTCTTCCCCGCTGCCCCCGGACCTCTTTTGAAGCAAGGGGCTGCGGGGAGATCGCTTCTCCCGGTGTTCCGAAGCGGGGCGGGGGGGGGGCGGGAACACCTGCCCCAGCCGCCCCGCTTCGGAACGCTGCTCCGAAGCGGGGCGGGGGGGCGGGAACACCTGCCCCAGCCGCCCCGCTTTGGAGCGCTGCTCCGAAGCGGGGCGGGGGGCGGGAACACCTGCCCCAGCCGCCCCGCTTCGGAGCGCTGCTCCGAAGCGGGGCGGTGGGAACCTCGCACCCCGCCGCCGGGCATCGGAACGATGCCCCGATGCCGGGCGGTGGGGCGGGAACCTCTCCCCCCGCCGCCCGGCATCGGAACGATGCCCCGATGCCGGGCGGTGGGGCGGGAACCTCGCACCCCGCCGCCGGGCATCGGAACGAGGTCCTGGACCTCTTCTGAAGGCAGGCGGGGGCAAAAGTCTTTGCTCCCCCCGCCTGCCTTCCCGGGACAGCGGAGACTTCTCCGCTGCCCCGGGCGATCTTAAAATGCTGGCGGGCGGGAGCGAAGCGTTCGCTGCCGACCTCCAGCATTTTAAAATCTCCTCGGGGCAGCGGAGACTTCGCTCCCGCCCGCCAGCATTTTAAAATCGCCCCGGGACAGCAGGGGCTTTTAAAATGCTGGCGGTCGGCAGCAAAGCCCTCCTGTCCCCGGAGCTTGCGGGGCGGGAGGTGGGAAGAAGGGCTTTTCTTCCCACCGCCAGCCTTCAGAACAGCCTTCTGAAGGCTGGCAGTGGGAAGAAAAGCCCTTGTCCCCCCCCCCCCAGCCTTCAGAAGAGGTCGGGGGACAGACTGTCCCCGGACCTGGTCTGAAGGCGGTTTCCCTAGGAACGCATTAATTGATTTTCAATGCATTCCTATGGGAAACCGTGCATCGCAAGACGAAAAACTCGCAAGACGAAGAGACTTGCGGAACGAATTAATTTCGTCTTGCGAGGCACCACTGTACTTTTTATATAGTCAATATAGGCACAGAGTTAAATTTTTTAACATTTTCTAATGGTGGTGTGCCTCGAGATTTTTTTCATGAAACAAGTGTGCCTTTGCCCAAAAAAGGTTGGGAAACACTGGCCTAATCCTCTTTTAAAGCCATCCACGTCCTGCTTTTCATGTGCAGGACGAACCTAAGTGTCAGAAATAACAAGGTTTCCACCTCCTCTGTTGAAAGAGGCTTACACCTAGATTGGATCCTTCTTGTTTACATTTATTTATTACTTTATTTGGGAATTGCCTTTCACATACACCTTAAGGTGATTTAAATCATACCAGTGAAAGCAACAAAAGCAGGTTTAAAAAACAGTGCAAAACGCAACTAAAGATACTGTTACCCGCCACCGCAATCTCCAAGCAGTGCAAAATCCCAGGGGTTCAAGGCACATACCCGGGGGTTCAGGTTTCCTTGCAGTGAGGGCCTGCCAAGATTGTGATGTCTTTAGGAGATATGGTTTATTTACACATATATATACAACCTGAGCCTGGGATGGAGAGGTTCACAGCATTAACACTCCAAGAGACTCTTGCTTCTCCCATAGCCACAGCCTTGGATTCAAGCAGAAATAAGGCATAGCTCTGTCCCCCAGCCTACCAGCTTCTAGCTCGCATAACTCAACTCTCCACTCTGGCCTTTATCTTGTAAACTACCAGCGAGCTGAGGGAGGGGGGCTCACCCATTTGTTTTCTGGCACAGAGCCTTAATGGCCCACACTTAGAGGGTCTTTAGCTCCCCAGGAAGCTAGTCTAGCTATTCAATGAATTGAATCCATCTGTATCCAGGAATTAGAAGGGGGCTGAAGCATACAGCCTATCCCCAACAACTCATAACAATACAATACATAAGTTGTAAAGAAACGTGATGTATTCCCACTATGTACAGATGACTCCCCACTTTACACGGGTTCAGGCACCCTACACACAGTGAAAATCGTGTAAGTGGGGAGCACCCTTTAAAAGCCTCCTTCCTCTCTCTCCAAATTACTACTCTCCAAAAATCAAAAATACTGCACCCAAAATATCCACAACTGGAATTGCTACAATATCATTTAAGCAGCAGGTGGTGCTATACCACCTTGGGAAAAATTTGCATGCTGGTCCTAACTTTTGACACACCCATTGTGATTTTTTGAACTTTTAAAAAAAAATAATCACAACACATCTTTGTTGTTATGAAATGGACAATCTCCTCATGCTTAGCCAACTGCATTATTTCTAAAGCTTTCTGAAACTGCCCCCTTTCTGTATTGCTAGGGTATTTCATACACCTATGAGTGTGGCACAATCAAGTCCCTTTCCCCTGCACCGGGGCAGTGGACAGAAATTCAATTCAGTTCACATTTAAAGGTTTCTCTGCTAAATTGGCACTTCCTGAAATGGTGTGTGAACCGAACACTCAGCCATCCTTCAAGATTCAAACATTTCTGAATTCTGCAATGAATTAATGAGTACAAAAATTCATATACTAGGTTATAGGGTTCAAAAAAATTGTCATCTGTCTGTCTATCATTTGTTAGTCACTTTTTTCAAAAAGTGTCCCAAAGCAACCTGGAATCCAGCTAAAAGCATCCAATAAAAATCTAAAAACACAGCTATAGAGATAAAAGGCAGGTCTTACAGATCCCACTCCACTAAGAAAGTGCCACCCTTCAAATTAAGGGCCAAAAGCCCAGGTAAAGATAAACCTTTAGCACCTAAAAACAGATGAAGGTGGAACTACACATGCCTCCCTGGGGGAAGCATTCCACACGCAGGGAGCCACCACTGAAAAGGCCCAATCTTGTGTTGCCAGCCTCTGCACCTCCCATGGAGAGGGCACACAAAGAAGGACCTCAGATATATATTAGTGGACATAATACCCAAATATTCACTGGTGAAAATTGCTTGCAAATTTGCCCTATAATGCTGAATAATATTCATGAAGACTCTTAAAAGAAAATCTGCAAACTGATGTGGGAATGTGGAGAACTGAAATTAAGACTGGAAAAATGAGAAACCATAACTGACACATTTGCACGTTCCTAGCCACAACTTTGCTAATCCAAGCAACTGCTAAGCATAACAAGTATCTAAAACCGCCATGAGGAAAAGCTAAGTGATGCTGAGCATTTTCTGTTGGAATTCCATATGCTTCATGATGGACCTGCATATTATAACATGGTAAACTCAAACATTAATCTGGCCTTGTCACAATGGATCATCTGTCATTGTATTCAGTGCTGTAATTTGTTAAATTAAGAGACTTAAAGGCCTGATTCGGATGTCGTAACAAACCATGCCACCATATGATCTTGGTTTGATATTTTAGTTTGTGAAGAAACAATTTGCAGTATCAACATATGTACACAACCCCATTTCTGCTCATTAATTTATCTGCCTTTATAATGAATATATATTGGCCACAAACATGTTTACTCTATTATGTCTTGTCAAAATATTGTCTTTATATTTATATAAAATCTTTATAAGCGTCTTTTTAAAAAGCAACAACCCATTATTGGGAACAGAGTGTCCTTAAGTCTCTATTGTAGAGCTCGCTTAGGCTATTCAGTGAGATACGATTCATTGACAGCTTAAATTGAACTGCATTCCACTGGCACAAAACCATGAAAGGAGGAAAAAACCTTGCAATGAATCGCAGTTATGAAGGAACCAAAAGTCATCTAGTTCAGCCTCTTCTACCCATAGCTGTCAACTTACAGATTTGAAAATAAGGGACCAGCAGCCAAAATAAGGGACCTGCAGCCTCACCTGTTCCAGGCACTACAGTCTTCCTGCTGTCCTGCAGTCTGGTCAAACTGGAAGCTCGGGCTTCCCCCACCCCAGCCTCGCGCCTGGGGGGGGGACATTTTTTTCTTTATTCCCCCCCCAAAAAAAACCTAGGTGCGCCTTATGGGCCGGTATGCCCTATGGGGCGAAAAATACGGTACTTTATGAAAAGCAGTTTGAGCTATTTAGTTAAACTGTTGTTGTTGATGGTTAACTATTCTAGATTAACAATTAATAATTACATTACTCTTTGGGGGGGATGATTATTTACATCTCATTATTAGCACATTGAAATAGCAACAGAAAAGTGTCTTTCCTC